CTAAGACGCAATGTAGTAGGGGTCAGTTTGAGCATTGAGAGGGTCCATAGATTGGGTTCGATGGGGTGATGGGGCGGATGTTTCTGAAATATCCCGCTGATCCAGCTTGATCTGATCCTTCCTTCCAGGCAACCAAGTGAGAATCTCACCCTCCGCGGCGTTCCGTCTCATTAACTAGTCATGTAGTATTCATGTCGGAAGACTAAGAAGGAAACGGGGAAATGGGAAAAGTGGGCATCCTCCGGGTCATTTGACGCAGTTAAACAACCTCTTGGTGCTGTTCAAAAATCTCCCTTCTACCTGTGGTTGGACATCTTGATTTCCCCTGCCTCCATCTATCACTTCTATCGCCTTAAAGATGGATAACAACGAGATGCCGGAGCCGAGTACGAGCACCCGAGATGCATGTGACCGCTGTCACTCTATGAAAACACGATGTGTGCGGCTGCAACAGTCAGGAGAATGTCAACGATGCCAGCGAATGCGCGTCTCTTGTGAATATAGTCCGGCCCTGAAAGTAGGGCGGCCGCTGGGGCGCAAAACGGGTATTGCAGACCGCAGCAGCCGTGCCATGGGAGCAGTGCAGCTGGGCCTCAAGCGACGAAAACAGTCGAGAGAAGCCACAACTGAAGGTGAGATGGTTTAGTCCTTTGTGACATTCCTCACATCCAATGTCAGTTACTGCAGCAGAACCCACCTTCGCCTCTCAACTCCCCGCCTTCGAGCCGACTATCCAAGTAAGGACGGAGGAACCTCTGTTCGAAGAGGACCCTTACCGCTTGGGGGCCGCACAGGACTTGGAAAAAGCGACGTTGTGTCCACCAGGGCTCGAAGGCCTGGAAATGCTTGGCGCCGGCGACTTTGTCGATTTTTCAGTCGTAGGAGAGCCGCCGGTTGTGAAGAATAATTCATCGACACCTTCCACAGCATTTGATCACGTACCCTTCGGTGTTTTGCGGCCGACGCCACCGCGATCTTTAATAGCAGAGAGAGTCATGTCGGCTTTTGAGGGAGACGACTTCTTACACCGTCTTCTGGACCTTCAGGTCAAGCTTTCGGGCCTGATAAAATCACTCACAAGCGGAAAGGAGACCAGCTGCCTAGCGCTGACGCCGAATGCTCCAGGGATAGGCAGCTTTGCTTCCGGGGCTGTCCTTTCCAAGAACATGGAAGAGGTCGCCCTGGCCACGGAAGATCTAGTCGACATCATTGAAAAGGTGCAACGATGTGGAGTTCGGGACAGCGACTACAGCCGAGAGGCTGAACTCGGCATGTTCACACCGTCCTCTTCATCACAAGTCGGCGTGCCGGTTCCGCCACGAAAATCAACGAAACCCCACATTGCCACGACACTCCTGGTCTCGAGTAGCTACGTGAGGCTTATCCAGGTCTTTGAGCTGCTCGTTGAGACGTTGCAACAACCTTCACCAAGCCAGCCATACCACGCTTCAAACCGGGGCAGGCCACAGACTCCACAGACTCCACCAGGGGAAATGCCCATGTTCCGGTTAGGGCGGCTGCGACTAACCATTCCCCCCAGACTCAGCACGGAACTGCACTTTCACGTTGTTTCGCAGATGGTACAACGGCTCAGGGAAACAATGCAGAGCTACGCGGCCTACGTTGAGAATGCAACGGCACCAGGAAGTGCCAACGACTTTTTCAAGGCGATGGAACCGAGCGGGCCAAGTGCCATTGCCATGATAGTCGAGAGTGTCTTGTCAGACGTGAACACGCAGGAGGAGAACCTGCTCACAACCTTACATAGAAGAGACTAATCCTAACAATTTAGTCTAATGTCATACGTTTGACTGATTCTCCTCGTGCGGTTTCCTCGTGCAACTCCTCTGTACTGTAGAGCATAAATATCAACTGTTGCAGGACAGGCATCGCACATATTTCCTTTCCATCTCGCCTCCGGCCTGACGATGCCTGTATCGAAGAGCTCCTCAATGCACATCTTCGTGCTAGAAGAATGCAATTCCGAAGGCTAACGCCATTTGCAATAGCGTCTAAACAAATATAGAACCATTCATAGATGATTGGGCAGGCGAGTTGACAGGGATGGTGTGGGCTGTATGCAGCCAGGGGGAAAAACTCGCCGAAGTCGTGTCCAAAGGGATGTATTGCACAAGAAGGGCCAATCCAGCCATACAGTAGCTTACATAGACTACTAAGTTCCGCCTTGCCTGATCCGGTATTGCCCTTTCAGAGGGTAAGCTCTCGCCCTCGCCTTCGCTCAGCAGAAGAAAGGAAACCCTTTCTCACCGAAAGGAATAGAACTAGAGTTGTTCCATTCAAAGTATCCTGCAAGCGGTTCACAGTCGACACGGGCCTTCAGCTATGGCACAGCGTAGGATACTTTGTTTACATGGCATGGGTGGTTCGGGACAGGTACAGCCCATGGCACCACAACTTGAATGTTTCCATGTGACAGACAGCAGGACTGACGCTCATCAGATTGTGAAAGCACAGCTAGGTAAGCTTCCAATACAACTCCTACCATATCGAGGCAGAGACATCTACTAACGCCGGACGTCGACGCCAGCGCCCCTCCTGTCAAAGCTATCCTCCCGCGAGCAGCACTTCGAGTTCTTCTTCCCCGACGGCCCCATCGAGACCAAGTCCCCAGGCCCCGGCTTGTCCGCAATGTTTGCCGACGCGGGCCCCTTCCACAGCTGGTTCACCTGGCCCGGCGACCAAGGCAACAGCTCCGCCTCCGAGTCCCCAGCCCTGCAGAAACCGCCGACTGCGGCCGACGTCGCCACGGTGCGCGACGCCATCGAGGAGCTGTACGACCTCGCCGACCAGCACGGGCCTTTCGACGGCGTCTTTGGCTTCTCGCAGGGCGCCACGCTGGCCGCCGGCTGGCTGATGCGGCACGAGCGGCGGCGGCAGGCGACGGGGCCGGTGCTAGACGTCATGACGCCGTCGCCCGAGCTGGCGCGTTTCGTGGTGCTGTTCAACGCCTACGGTATCGGCATCGCGGAGGTAGAGGAGGCCATGATGGAAGGCAGCGGGGAGGGGTCATCCGATGAGGAGGACAAGGAGGACAAGGAGGAGACGAGGTCGGGGGCAATCAGGCTGGCCACGCCGTCGCTACATGTCTGTGGCAGGCGTGACAGCTTCCTCCCGGGATCGATGGCGCTCTTGGACGCCTGCGACCCGGGCACGGCCAGCTTTGTTATGCACGATGGCGGCCACGTCGTGCCGAGGGACCCGAGGACGGTGGACGAGATAGCTCGGGCGATTGAGGCGCTTATGCATCGGGCTGTCACGTAGCAAAGTTTAAGGAATACTAGGACTACACTTTCCCAGGTAGATAGCACCAGGTGCTTGTCCAGATTTCGAGTAACATTTGTTTAAGTGTGTATTAGCCTAGTAACAAACTCCAATATACCTCACTAAGTCTATGCTTGCTCATGATGACCTAACAAGATCAACAGTAGCACAATGGAAAGACCCGCCCAGGCTATTAACATTCTGGAAGGGGCACATAATGGGCTCCATATCAAACTTTTCTCTTACCCATGCCGCGAACTCGGTATCCTTCTCTTCCACCATGATGCGTCGTTCGTCGAGACTCAGTGCATTCAGCACCAGCCATGGAGAACACATGTACATGGGCGGAGCGGGACTCTCGCGGTGGAGCGGGGTAAAGGGGTAGGCATGCAGTTCCCAGTCCCGAAAGACGGCATGCCGGCGGAGCCTTGCCTCGGTGACGCGCTCGGGGTTGTACACCAGCAACCCTTTGCGGAGCGGCAGAATAGTCGCGTCGATGTGCATAGCGTGTTCGTCAGTGACGTCTAGGAGCTCGACTGTGTATCCCTCCGGTACCATTGCCTGCAAGTACTGCGTCCCTTTGAGGTTGGTGACGTTGCTGAGCTGCCCAATGATTGTTTTTCCGAATCGCATGAAGTCGGCTGTGTCGAAGGCCGGGCGGGAGTTGTTGATAGCTCCGTTGATCCGGCTCCCATTCTTTAGTATGTGTCCGTTCAGGCCATTGGAGATGTGATCGTACAACGTGTCTCGCCCAACGATGACCGGGGCTCGACAGGTCCTGGCCGTACCGCCGCTGCTGCCGAGGTGATGCAAGATGTCTGAGTAGCCCAGTTTGATTTCTTGGTGACGGCAGCGCCAGGCGAAGGGAGCTTCGATGAGAGTGTTGCCCACCGTCATCAAGCCGTCCCGCGGCATGGCCCCCGTATATCCGCCGGCCTCAAGCCAGTCAACCTTTTTAGGACGATAGACGCGAATACCTAGGCCCTCCAGCAGTGAGGCGAAGTTGTCAAGCTCGGACTGCGCCTTGGCCACGATATCCGCTGGGAAAGGATTGCAAGGCCGGAACATATCGAAATGCTCGGGTGGCATCGTGGCCGCTATCATATGCCCGGGCTCAGATGGAAACGCCGAGTGTTCCGCATCACCAACAATGACTGCTTTGAGTGGTGACCACTCATCGTCTGCAGAGATAAGGGGCATAGCTTGAGGCTTCATCCTGTAACAATAGAGAAAATGAGACAGAAGCGTTCCTATTTGATGCCAAGCTTAGGACCTCCGTAGGTACTAGTTCTGGACTTGCTGTACTACTTATACTGACTTGACTCCATTCCGAGGAGGGATATGCTATCACTCAACTATACGCCGAATACAGTACTATGTATGCCATGTGTATATCTAGATTTTCTTGTATTCACGTAGTACAAACCCCTGCCCATCCCTGGTGTAACGGCTTGGCTTGGCGTGGACTAATTTCTGACACTGCGAATCATGTTTATACCCTAGGTTGCGAGCGGCTGAGCCTAGACTCTAGAGAATCTCGCCGATGATCGGTCTATAAGTGGTGCCCCGCAACTCCCCTCGAGAATCTCGCCGATCGTGCAGCTGGATCGAAGAGGAACTTGCTGGACTGCGGCTGCTCCTTCTCCCATCAGGAGTGCCTTGTCTTTTCCACTCTATCACCTCTAACCTGTGCATTCAGCGCATTGACGACTAGAAGCATGCATCATGATGAACAGGTCACTTGTCCGGAGATTCGGTTCGGAACGACGCCCATGCTGGACCTCGACTTTCCCACATCACGGCCGCCACGTCCGGTAGACGATCCCCAGAATCTGTTACCGATCATCAATGGCGGACCCGGTCAAACGGTTTCACCCACGAATGAAACTACCCTCCAGGGTGCCCGCCTATGGAGCCTCATTGGGGGTTTGTATCTAGCCGTCTACTTGGTCGGGCTGGATCTGTCCATGCTATCTACCGTAGGCTCAACTCATCAACCCTGTCCTGTCGCCGAGTCGGGACTGATAGGACATGCTCCAGGTAATACCAAAGCTCTCGGATTACTTTCACAGAATATCGGATGTTGGCTGGTACGAAATCGCATATCTTGTGCCAATGTGAGTCATTGTGTGCAAGAAATGCTGTCGGGGAAGAATGCACGCCTAACCAACCCACCAGATGCGTCCTCCAGCCATTGGCCGGCCAGATATACACCGTCATGCCAAGCAAGGTTTGTGTAAAGGCGCCATTAATGTCCCAGCAGCTGATCAGTTTCAAGCACACCTACCTGGCCTTCTTCATCGTATTCGAGCTCGGTAGCCTTGTGTGCGCCGTCGCGCCAACGAGCCCCGTCTTCATCATCGGCAGGGCTATCACGGGAATCGGCGCCGCCGGCCTCATGAACGGCGGCCTCGTCATCATATCCGCTGCGTGTCCGCCTCGGATACGGCCCATGATCACCGGGGCCGCCATATCGCTCATACCCCTCGGCGGCATCACCGGCCCCCTGATCGCCGGCGCCCTGACCGATCACCTTGGCTGGAAGTGGTGTAAGTCGTTCCCTTGACGTCGTTTAACCCTAAGACCCTAAGACGTTGTGGCAGGCTTTTGGATCTTTCTCCCTGTCGGCGCCATCACAGCCGTTATCATCATCGCCGTTCGTATCCCCGAACAGGCCCCGAAGCCCCCTTTCCGCCAAGCGCTCTCCGAGCTGCCCCGAAGCGTCGACCCCGTAGGCTTTCTCCTCTTCGCGCCAGCAATCATAGAACTACTCCTTGCCATCAGCTGGGGAGGCGCTGATTTCGCGTGGTCCTCGCCCACCATCATCGGGCTCTTCTGCGGCTCCGTGGCGACGATGGTCGCGTTCGCCATGTGGTCAAGATACGCAGGGGAAAAGGCTCTGATCCCACGAAGCACGATGCTTCACCCGCTCGTTGTCTTCGGTAGTGCTGTTGTCGCGATGCAGGGCGGCTCGACGACCGTGGTCACGTACTATCTCCCCCTGTGGTTCCAGGCCATCCAGGGGCAGAGCGCGGTCGGGGCCGGCGTGAGGCTGCTGCCTTCGATGATTTCAATGATTGCCGGCATGATGACTGCGGCAGTATTAGGTACGTATCTAACAGCATTGTCCGAAATCTCAACTCATTTGTTGGTTCTCTCCAGTCCGGAGGCTGCATTACGTGCCACCTTGGGCAATAGCGGGTAGCATACTCTCGGCGGTTGGCACTGGGCTCTTGACGACGCTCTCTGTGACCTCGACTACTGGGCACTGGATCGGATACCAAATCATCACAGGGTACGGGCGCGGAATGGCGCTTCAAATAGTAAGGTCAGCCCCCGTTTCCTCTGCACACAATCGACCTTACTCAAAGTCTATATCCAAAAGCCAGTGATTGCCGTCCAGGAAAGTCTTCCTAGCGAAGAGCTTGCTATGGCGACGTCGAGTCTCACACTACTCATGTATCTCGGGAGTGCGATTGGCACGTCTGTAGGCCAGACCATATTCCGAAGCGGTATACCAGGTGCCCTGGCGCAATATGCCCCTTTCGTAGACCCCGAGCTGGTGATCAACACGGGCGCCACGGAGATTCAACATTTGGTGACACCAGACCAGTTGCCTGAGCTACTGCGGGCCTATAACGAGGCATTGACCCAGATCTTTGTGAGTGTAGGGATTGTGATCCTGACGAACCCGGCTGATTGATGTTTGTAGTTCTATCCAACGGCGAGTGCAGCTGTTGCTGTTTTGCTTGCCTTTGGTTTAGGTTGGAAGAGAATAGGAGTCGACAATAGTCCAGAGATGGCAGGGGTTAGCATGTCAGAAATGGACACATGTAGGTCTGGCACAGCGGTCTCATAGTGTATTGAACCATATCAACAACTGTCCTTCAGTGAGGTGTACAATCTATAAAACATTACCCTATTACTATCTAACGTTACTACACCTAATAAACTAACTGATGGGCCACTGAGAGCCGTTTATGCAATCCACCAAAGTCATGTACACGACCTATTACCCAAACACCCCCACGGATGAGACAACAATCACTTCAACCTAGTCGGAAGAGAAGTGTAAGCCTTATGTAGTGAAAGGCCCCGGCAAGCAAAACTCGCCGATAAAACGGGAGTACACAATCGGAGGTTTCTAAACCCCAGAAGGCTCGCGCACCCAAGATTCATCCTATGCTACTCTGACCAGTCTAGCATGGCGTCTACATGGCCTCCTGTCTTCCTGACCGGGACGCAGTTGCAAAATACCCCGTTCGATTCGCCGCGAAGGATTTGCCTCGAAAGTCGCCGGCGATGGATGCCCTCAGCCTCACGAATAGCTCCAACAAATAGACTCAGAGCTTTGAACAGCTAGTCAGATCGTAGAGATCCAACCTATCAGAATACGCGACACAAGGAGCTTCAGCCCAGTCCGGTGGCCGGCAGAATAAGAAAGACTACCTCTAACGAAAGGCATAGTCGTTGGTATTGGTGATGGTGAAGGTGCTTCTCTTTACTTAAGGTAACATCACTCGTCTACACACTCGTCCCATGTCCTCGAAGAAACGACACTTCTTTCCCCCATCGTGACATACATACATACATAGCCAAGATGCATCAAGACTCCAAGACAATGCCTATAGCCATCGTTGGCATGGCAGGACGCTTCCCCGGAGAAGCCCACAACCCAAGCAAGCTATGGGACATGATGGTCGACGGCCGCGATGCCTGGTCGCCAATACCATCGACGCGCTTCAACCACGAGGCTTTCTACCACCCAGACCCAGCCCGGAACGGCGCGGTAAGTAGTCGACAGACATCAATTGTAGCCGCCTGTTGTTCCATGGTCTGTTCTCGATACTGATATAAGCATCACCTTACTTAGTCAAACGTCAAGGGCGGCTTCTTCATGGAAGAAGATCTGGGCCTTTTCGACGCCCCCTTTTTTGGCATGACCAAAGCCGAAGCAGCAGTAAGTCCGCTTATTCGCTTCCCCAGTCAACTTGACCTAGTCATTGACCTACCGACTCAGGCACTTGACCCACAACAGCGACTTCTGCTCGAGTGCACCTATGAAGCCTTTGAGAATGGTACGTAAGCTCTTCCCTTGTCTGGCTGGGATAAGGAACCCATCACGCGCTGGCTCGCGGCTTACCTGGTGTACAGCCGGCGTGCCCATGGCCTCCATATCAGGAGAAGCCCTCGGCGTCTTTGTAGGCTGTTTCTGCAAAGACTGGGGCCAGATGACCATGACCCGCGACCCAGACGCGGTTCCAATGTACCAGGCGACGGGCTCGGGAGACGCGCTGCTCGCCAACCGCCTGTCGTACTTCTTCAACCTGGTCGGGCCGTCCGTCATGCTAGACACGGCATGCTCGTCCAGCATGGTCGCGCTGCATCTAGCCTGCACGGCGATCCGGGCCGGCGACTGTCGCGGCGCCGTGGTGGCCGGGGCCAACGCGCTGCTGAACCACGACATGCTGAACCCCATGACCACCACGCGTTTCCTGTCGCCCGACGGGCGCAGCTACTCGTACGACTCGCGCGCCAACGGCTACGGGCGTGGCGAGGGCGTGGCGGCCCTCGTGCTGAAGCCCCTGGCAGACGCGCTGCGCGACGGCGACTGCGTGCGGGCCGTCATCAGGAATACGGGGTGCAATCAAGATGGCCGCACCCCCGGCATCACCTTCCCGAGTGCAAAAGCCCAGGCAGCACTGCTGCGCAGAGCCCACGCCGACGCAGGGCTGAACCCTGCCGAGACGACGTATGCCGAGTGTCATGGGACGGGCACCCAGGCGGGCGACCCGATAGAAGCAGCTGCCCTTTCCGACGTCTTCTGCGGCCAGGGCGCGTCCGGTGCGCCTGCTCGGGCGGCACCTTTGGTCGTAGGATCCGTCAAGACAAACGTCGGCCATCTTGAGGGCGCTGCTGGCGTGGCAGGCTTGGTAAAAACAGTCATGATGCTGGAGCACCAGACTATCGTGCCGAATGCTGGCTTCCAAAAGGCAAACGAGCGCATACCTCTGAAGAAGTGGAAGCTTGAGGTAAGAAAAGATCTGACTCACCATGCTCTGTTTTGCACCTTGATATCGTCGCTTTGACTTTGTTACCCCCCATCGACGATCCACGGCACTTAGACCGGCAAGTCTTGCCTTGATCCACGTCGGAGCTGACCAAGACCAGATCCCACAGACAACCCGGCCATGGATGCCGACTCAATCAGGCGTGCTTCGTGCTTCTGTCAGCGGCTTCGGCTTTGGGGGCACCAACGCCTGTGCTATTCTGGACCACACACAAGCCTACCTTGCCAGCCTACCCGTTCCAGGGCCGGCCAGAATCCCATCTCCTGCTTCGGACCTAGATTCTGCTACAAATCATGTTACCAATGGCTACCATAATTCAGACTGGAGGGACGAATCTGCCTTCCGCCGGGATGAACTGAAGACATTGCGGAAAGCGCAGCTGGACATCACCGGCCCCGGAGTCGAAGAAGTTCCTCAGCAGAATGGACAGAACGGCCTGAACGGACAGAACGGCTATCTCCACTCGTCGCCCGCAAAATCCACCAGCCATCAGCGCCGCATCTTCCCCCTCTCAGCCTTCAACGCCGAAGCCGGCTCATCCCAAGCCTCGCGCCTCGCCTCCTACCTCGAAGCCCGGAGCAACAACGACAACGAGGACACGCTCGCGGACCTCGCCCACACCCTAATCAAGCACCGCTCCCTCCTCCCGTACCGCGCCGCCTTTGTCGCCCGCACGCCCGCCGACCTCGTCGCGGCGCTCCAGGCCTCTAACCACGCCTTCAAGACCCGCCGCACCCTGCCCGGGCTGGCCTTCGTCTTCACGGGCCAGGGCGCGGCGTGGTTCGCCATGGGCCGCGAGCTGCTGGCCTCGGCGCCGCCGTTCGCCCGCTCGCTCGCGCGCTGCGACGCCTGGCTGCGCGAGCTCGGCGCCGACTGGTCGGCCGCAGAGGAGCTGTGCCGCGAGCAGGGCGCGACGCGCGTCGGGCTGACCCGCATCAGCCAGCCGCTGTGCACGGCGGTGCAGCTGGCGCTGGTGGACCTGCTGGCGGACTGGGCCGTCAACCCGGTGGGAGTGGTTGGCCATTCCAGCGGCGAGATCGCGGCTGCGTATGCAGCCGGGCTGATCAGCGGGCCTGCTGCCATGGCGGCTGCCTACTTCCGTGGTGTGGCGGCGTCGCAACCGGAGCTGCACAGCGGCGGCATGGCGGCCGTGGCAGCGTCCGAGACAGAGGTCCGCGGGCTTCTTGGCGAGCTGCAGGCGCACAGTGGGCAGCACGGGTGTGACATCGCCTGCTATAACAGCCCGCTGAGCTATACTGTCTCAGGCCCAGCCGAGGGCATTGGCGAGCTCGTCAAGCTGTGCAAGTCTCGTGGGGTCCAAGTTCACAAGCTCCCTGTGAATGTAGCTTACCACTCGCGGTCAATGCAAGCGGTGGCAGAAGGCTACCGTACCGCACTCACGAAGTCATCCTCATTCAACCTCCAGCATGACGAGCCGCTGCCGACTGGAAGGGCGCCCATGTTTTCATCAGTGTCAGGTGAGCGCCTCGACGAGCCAAGCCAGCTGGGCGCCGACTACTGGGTCGAGAACCTCGTTCAGCCAGTACGCTTCTGTGACGCTTTGAGTAGGCTGTGTCAAGAGCTTGGCGGCAAAAGTAGGAAGAGGGACCCCAAGAACAACAAAGCTCAAAACGCAGCACCTGTCGATGTTCTCGTCGAAATTGGACCCCATTCGGCACTTGCCGGTCCCATCCGTCAGATACTCCAAGCCGAGCCAGCCCTGTCCGAGGTATCCTACCTGTCTGTTCTTCGTCGCGGAGAGGACGCCCACGAAACAGCGCTGAATCTTGCCGCCGCACTCTTCGAGAAGGGGTTTGCTGTGGATCTAAGCCGAGTCAACCAGGCTCAGAGTCCGGCTGTCCATGCTCCTTTGTCAAATGGTCTTGCCAATGGCCATGTCAACGGCGACAAGGAACCGCAACCGAGCAGCGAGGTTGTCCAAGGCTCCGTTCTCGTCGACCTGCCATCATACCCCTGGAACCACGCCACGCGCTACTGGGCCGAGCCACGCGAGAGCTACCTCTACCGCATGCGCAAGGAGGCCCGCCACGACCTCCTCGGCGCCATTGTCCGCTTCAACAACCCGCTGGAACCGCGCTGGCGCAACTGGATGCGCGTCTCGGAGCTGCCCTGGCTGCGGCACCACCGCGTGCAGGGCCTGACCGTTTACCCGGCAGCGGGCTTCCTCTGCATGGCCATCGAAGCCGCTCGCCAGCACGCCGCGGCGTCGCAGGAGTCCGGGACGGGCGCTATCGGCGGGTTCGACCTGCGCGAGGTGGTCATTGGACAGGCACTCGTGATCCCCGATAGCACGGACGAGGTAGAGACGATGCTGAGCCTGCGGCCCTCTCAACAGAGGGGCTTCCGCGAGACGGGCTCCTCTGCCTCTCACGTGTGGAGTGAGTTCTTGGTCACGTCTTGCGGCGCGGACGGCAGGTGGTCTGAGCACTGCCGTGGTCTCATTGCCGTGCGTTCAGTCGATCAGTACAGCGGCAACAGTAACGAGGTCAGTGGGAGCCGCCTCGCGGAGCTGGAGAAGGGGCGGAATGCTGATCGCTGGCGTATCGCGAAAAACACCTGTACGGACGAAATCGACCCTGCTGCGCTATATGACCGTCTGACTGCCATTGGGCTGGAGTACGGACCTTCATTTCAAAATCTGACGCGAGTTCGCCATGATGGTAGGGGATCGGAGGCCCTGGGAACCATCACTGTTCCGGACATGTGCTCGCACATGCCGATGCAACACCACAGCGCTTTCGTCGTTCACCCTGCCTTTCTAGACGCCTGTCTGCATGCCGTTATGCCACTACGGCTGGACGTCCAGGGTGCGGTAGTGCCTACTTTTATCTCGAGTGTCCACATCTCGGCCGGCATTTCCCAGACTCCTGGCGAGCAGTTCGATGTCGCTGTTCACGTTGATAAGGCGAACCGACGTCAGACGGTAGTCTCGCTGAGTGGCCAGCTCGTCGGCGACAAGACAACACACCCAGAGCCCACGGTGCGAATTGACGGGTTGACACTCACCTCGCTCGCTGGAGGAGGCGAGCGTAGCGCCAAAGACAGCTTTCCCATCAAGAAATGCTTGCGGCCCCTTCTCAAGCCAGATCCCGATTTCCTGACGTCGGAGCTGCTCTCAAAAATCTGCGCCCACCTGCAGCCCTTGAACCCAGAGGCAGAGCGGGCTGACCTGCTCCTCCTCGAAGAGATGGGATACATCATGGCCGAGAGAGCACTTGCGCAGGTGCCCGACATCAGCCATCTCCCCCAGGGCAACGAGGATCGCGCCAAGCTCTACCGCTCCTTGACGCGCCTCCGAGACGACGTTCACACAGGCCGCAACCCACACGACGTCAAGGCGTGGATCGCGAAGACCGCTGAGCAGCGCGCCGCTGTGTGGGAGCAAGGACGGAATTCCACTGGCGACGAGGGCATCTTTGTGGCTCTCGTGGGCGACCACCTCCCCGCGTTCCTGCGCGACGAGGTAGACGTGCTCTCCGTAGTGACCCGTGGCGACGCTCTTGGCCGTTACTATGCCAACAACGTACGCATGCGGCGGTCCTGCGAACAGGCGGCAATAGTCGTGGATCTACTTGCGCACCAGAACCCCAGCCTCCGTGTGCTTGAGATCGGAGCCGGCACGGGAGGTGCCACGATGCCGATCCTGGAGAAGCTGGCCGGATCGTCAGGGTCCGACATGCCACGCTTTATCTCTTACGATTTCACCGATGTCTCACCAGGCTTCTTCGGCCCATTCCAGGCGAAGATGGCCGAAAAGGGGTGGGAGGACCTGCCCATCACCTACCGCAAGCTCGACATCGAAACGGATCCTGTTGATCAAGGGTTTGTCGCCGGGACCTACGACCTCATCGTTGCATCGAACGTCCTACACGCGACGAAGGACCTCGAGCGGACTATGCGCAATACGCGCCACCTTCTCAGGCCCGGGGGCACACTCGTCCTCGTTGAGCTGATGCGCAAGCCGTATGGGGGCGTCGGCGATTTGTTTGGCATCTTTCCGGGGTGGTGGGTTGCCGAAGAGGCGCATAGGCAGGACTCTCCCCTGTTGGACGAGGATGGTTGGAATGAAGTCTTTCAGAGGACCGGCTTTTCTGGACTGAAGGCAGCGGTCTGGGACACCGAAGACAGCTTGACACACAAGGGGACAACGCTGGTGACGACGGCCGTTGCCGAAGAGAGCCATCAGCACCCGGCCACTGACCAATGCTTCCGCGTCGTGAGCGGCTCAGGATGCCCGTCAGCCGTTGTTGGGGCCGTCTGCGAGTCTCTCGGAAGCATGGGGCCCGCACAAGCTTTCACACTGGAGCAATACGTACAGGATTCCAAGCTGCAGCAGCAAGACGAGCACACACACACGATATTTCTGGAGCTCGGTAGCTCGTCCATGCTTCGGAACCCAAACGAAGCCAGCTGGGAAGCCATCAAGTCCCTGGCGACGGGCAGCGAGGGTATCATGTGGGTAACGCGGGGGGCTTGTTATCCCGAGTCCAGCTCGCCCGACCTCGCCTTGGCCAGTGGTCTATTGCGGACGTTGCGGACGGAAATCGGCGGTCCTCTGGTGCACCTCGACCTCGAGCCAGGAACAGACATGTTGGCAGGAGAGCAGCTCTCGCAAACCTTGACCCGTGTCTACCGCCACGCGCTTGAAACTTATGAGAAACAGGGTCTCCGCGATGGAGACTCTGGCGGCGACCCAGAGCTCGAGTTTATAGAGCGCAACAGCACTATCCAGTTGCTACGATTCACGGAAGACACTGCTGTGGAGCACTTTGTCACCTCCCGGGTGGGCGTACTCCGTCCTTCAGTACAGAGTATGAACACTGGCACGCAGGCCGAAAGGCGGCTCAAGGTGGAAGTTGCGCAGCTTGGGATGCTGGATAGCCTGTATTTCGGCGATGATGCACGCGTGGCCGGTCCGCTGGGTGCAAACGAGGTTGAAATCGAAATCCGAGCAGCCGGACTCAACTTCCGAGATGTTATGATGGCCATGGGCCAAATCGAAGCGGCCGATCTAGGTGCCGAGTGCGCCGGTACCGTGACGGCCGTTGGTTCTGCTGTCGACCAGAGCAAGATGCGAGTTGGTGACCATGTTGTTGCGCCTGCAGATGGCGCGTTGTCTCAATGTGTGCGTGTGCCAGCCAGCCGTGCACAGCACCTCCCCGAGACCATGACCTTTGCTGAAGCAGCGACTCTGCCCATTGTCTTCTGCACAGCGCTGCACTCGGTGCGTGTTGCCGCTGTAGATGCTGCCGACATCGTCCTTGTCCACGCCGCAGCCGGGGGTCTAGGTCAGGCGCTGATCCAGCTGTGTCGCAGGGCCGGCGCGCGTATTCTCGCCACTGTTGGCAACAGTGAGAAAAAGCGCCTCCTTGTGGACCGATATGGCATTGCGGAGCAGGATATCTTCTGGAGTCGTGACGCCGGATTTGAGAGCGGCGTCATGGCAGCAACAGCGGGCAAGGGCGTCAATGTCGTCTTTAATTCACTGTCAGGCGAGCTTCTCCGCGCGTCCATGCGTTGCCTCGCTCCCTGGGGGCGTTTCGTCGAGCTCGGGAAGCGGGACTTTGCCATCAACACCTCACTCGAGATGGCGTCGCTCGCCAAGAGTATCAGCTTCCTGACAGTCGACCTCATGTCACTCCTCCTTCAACGACTCGAGAAGGGTTCAGAGCTTTGGGAGAGCGTCATGAATATGGCTCGTCGTCAGGAAATTCAGCCGATAGAACCCATTGCCACGTTCGGATTGGGCGATATTGAAAGCGCGATGCGCACAATGCAGGCAGGAAGACACATCGGCAAGATCGTACTGGAACCTAGGAAAGGGGAGTCAGGAAGGGTTATGCCGCAGGGTGCCCCTCGTCCCTCGCTGCATAGCGACGCTGCCTACGTGTTGGTTGGTGGTTTGGGTGGCATCGGGCGATCTTTCGCTTCCGTCATGGTGCGGCATCTCGGTGCACGTCATCTAGTCTTCATCTCCCGCAGCGGTGCTTCAACCCCTGAGGCACAGGACACTGTCAGAGACCTCCAACGCCTCGGGGCACAGATTACCGTCATAGCATGTGACGCTTCCGACAAGGCAGCGCTCAAGGCAGAGCTCGACTCGCGCGTGTTGCCGCCCATCAAGGGCGTCCTTCACCTAGGTCTCGTGATCAAGAATGATCTCTTCCGGAACATGGAGCTGTCCACATGGCTTGATTCACTCAAGCCCAAGGTGGAGGCCACCTGGAACCTCCACGAGCTACTGCCGGCCGACATGGACTTCTTCGTTATGCTCTCCTCCATGGCCGCGATATTGGGCGTGACCAGCCAGGCAGCTTACAACGCTGCAGGCACGTTCCAAGACGCCTTTGCCAGTTTCAGGAACAACCAGTTGGGCTGGGCGGCCACAACGACCATGGATCTCGGAATGGTCGTCGGCGTCGGCTACGTTGCTGACCGCATCGGCACGCATAATCGGCTCCTCGCCCAAGGTTTCGAGCCTATTCCTGAGGCCGAGTGTCTAGCTCTTATCGAAGCCTGTCTCCCCGCTCGGTCCCAGGCCCAAGCGCCACTCAAGGCGAACAAGGTCGACCCAGGCAACATCATAACAGGTCTCTGGCCCGCACGGCTCCTGGAGAACAGGGGGACGGCCCGCGCACTGTACTCAGCTCCCCAGTTCGCCTACGCGCGGCAGATGGCAACGTTGGCAGCGGCGGCCAATGGTGGAGCGGGTGATGGAGCTGGCGCCGATGGGACGGGGCAGCAGCGCATCAGAGAGTTGCTGCCGCTAGCAGAATCGATGGCGGACGCAGAGGGTTTGGTGCTGAGTGCCGTAGTGGGTAAATTGGCGAGCCTCCTGATGCTCCCCGAGGAAGAAATTGGGGTGGACGACGGCCAGAGCATGAGCAGCTATGGGTTGGACTCTCTAGTGGCTGTGGTAAGACTCATGTCAGGGATGGATGCCTAGATTGTTGACGAGCTAACTTGTTTCTTTCCAGGAAATGCGGAACTGGGTGGCGAGTGATATTCAGGTTACCGTCCCTATCCTGGAGTTTTTGGGTACACAGAGTATCAAGGACTTCTGTTACGCGTTGGCGAGGAAGTCCAAGCTCCTCAGGAAAGATCTGTCCTCGGAGTAGTCCTGGTGAGGAGTCTACGGCCACTGAAAGGCTGGTGGAATGTCGTTGGAGGCGTGCGTCTGAGTGCTACTTTTGGGTACATCTCAGCTTTTACATCGAGAAACTCGGTGTACCATCTGGACCAACTTCTCCTGAGGCTGTACTATGGTCGTTCATAGCAATTGAATATTGGAGAGTGCTGGCAAACTGCCTGATTCTTAGACCCCACGCACCATCATCAGGCCGGCGTAGCAAAAGGGTGGATGGATAACGTCAGACTATAGAGTGAACACGCTTTCTACCTCCCGGCCAAGTTCGACGGCTATTTTTCTGGTGATTGAGTTGACAGGCAGCTTCTGCTACGAGTGGAGCACGATGGGCACATGTCGGCGGAGGCTTCAGATGAGATGCTTGAGTAATATGACAATTGTTCTGTGTCAGAAGCGATGAATGCACGATCGTCGCTCGTTTCTGACGCGGCATCGGAATCGGCAAAAAAAGACAAGTTTGCGACGTTGAGCTCGGGTGCCGTGGAGACTGTTTCCATCATTGGAGAGCTTGAAACTGAATCAGATGCAGCGTACGCCTCTTTAAGCTTTCGGAGATATGACCACGAGTCTCTGGTTCAGCACTTCTCCAATGTGGTCTCACTTAGATATACAAATCACTCCGTAGGATAATCAATGGACATAGTGGGAAAAAAAAGGAGGGCTTCCAGGTTGTTGGTATTTATATGTTGGGTCGTTCCTAAAGTGAATGTCTGATATTGAAACCGTTGCTTCAAGCATCCCGTCGGGGAAAGGTGCCACGGTTGATCTATAGGCCCAATTTCAATTGACTATCCAAATGTTATGGCTTCAATTAACCGTCTTACAAGGAGTCGGGTTCATTGGAGACTGGAAATTCCCTTTTCAGGAAGCATCTTCTCATCTCTGGGTGCTTGTAACCGGGAAATAGCCATACGAAGGAAGTTAGCAGGTATACTCCCAACATTTCGTCTTGACGACAAGTAGCGTTGTGTGGCGAGGATGTCTATAATGGACGGTTATTCGAGGATCGCCTCGTGTCAGAGTGCCAGTTCACATACATAGGTAGCAGACATCCTGGGCCAATAGAAGAGCTTCTCGAGGTTGAGGGCAATGACCAGTACGTAGGGACGACCGTGGCACCAATCCGTATCAGGAAATCATTGGTCACCAGCCGGACCCCGCAACCCATCATTAGTGATGGATCATTTCCTCCGTGGATCAGGTACATTGTGTAATGAAAGCCCTCTTGTTTTATGATGGGAACGACTGCAGTGAAAAACTTCGATGTCCGTAGGTACCGACGGCCCGCTCAGATGGCACTAGTACTACCGGAGGTCTTGAGGCGTGTTGACACCCAAGTTGACATCTCCGCGTTGGCTGACTGTGACTTAGTGCGATGAGCCAGGAACTTGCAAGAACATTGCACAAATGTCGCTCTACGGCACATTCCTGGTACATTAGATCTCCACACTGAAGAGTCTGTGCCACCAGGTTTGCTAGCGACTTCCCAGAATGTTTTCCATGAAGAGGATGAAAGGCGAGTAAGACTTCCTTGTATTCCCAGTCATTAGTAATGAAATAGCCCAGAACTGTGAAGAAGGCGAGGTGGTTTGGACTGGTCCAGCAATCGACAGCTTCCGGTTTTTAGGCAGTTCCTGGAGGATCTGCTGTCGGACTTGATTCGCACAGTCTATGATCAGCGACTTCAGCTGTGTCCGACCAGGAAGTTTGATAGATGGGCGGCAGAATTGTAGGAGATCCCTGAACTCGTCTGATTCCACAGTACGAAACAGTATATTTGCGGAAAGGATAAACTTGATCAGCCGACTAGAGAACTGGGAATCAGTGAAAGCTGGAATTTCTGAAGTTTCAGACCTGAGGACGCGTGCCTATTAACGAAGGTATTAGTGTACGTGTAAAAGGGCTTTAAAAATAGGGTGATGTTACTGACCTTTTTGAAATGGCTATCTAATGTTGCCTGAACATCACTAGGCCGCTTTCCACGCTTCTGACAGCCAGGGCCTGTAAGATGCCGAATCATGTTAGAAGTACCCTAGTTGGTGATACCAGGATGGTTTTGTGCAGTACTACAATACTTGCAAATCACCTTAGGGACGCCTTGATATACCTCAGCACCTTCATGGAAGTTGTCCCATGTCCTCTCCGTCGAGCGTCGCTGGCTGTTATTCCACTTAGGGACTGAAAATCTCTGAGGGTTGCTTTGATTCTCAATTGCTTGAACAAAGGGCGTGTTTCTCAACCATTGCTCAAAGATGTCTGATGTTTCCTTTGTCCAGATGACATAATGGCGGTTTGACGATAGCTGAAGCTGAGGAGGGGGTTCATCTGCACGACCGCTAAGAACCAGGCCCTTAAGAGTATTGGCTTTCAAAGAGTTGGACCAAGATAGATTAAAGGATGTCTAAGAGCTAAGGATGCTCTCATTATCACGGTTAAGTGATGAAGGAGGAAGAAACGGAGTTGATTCCTGGTCCATGTTAGATGATGCCTTGAGATGAAGCCATGAAGGTGATGTTTCAGGGAAGAACTCGCGATCGCGTTGAGCCTTACAACTGACACGTGCCCTTTGCTCCGTACTCCATGGAGTCATTGACTCTGAGTGCTTATCCGGGTCGTATAACCCGTTTGTTGATCCAACCCGGTCGAAGACATCGATAACAATGATCCCTGGAATTCATAAATAAATTATGTTATTTCCCATATCAGCATATTGTAAAAGGTAGACACTTTACCTGATGCAAATTATAGCCCAGTATCCTTCGTTCAAAGTGTCAAATTTCATGTTTCGATTTGCAATACACAAATGCTTTAGGTGGCCTGGATATATATACAGTGCAACCACCCCATTATTTTCTACAGCGTCGTAGTTTTTGTCATTCGAGCTACAGAAGGCGAGAAAGAGTCATGGTAACCATTTTGAAAAGAGCAAGACTGTGATACATCTATAGACAATACATACTCGTGTAATCAAGGCTAAATAATTCAATGTTGGTGTGTTTCTTGCGACTTCATCATCCATTGGTTCCATCCTATATCTCAAGTGCTGCAATCTACGGACAAAAGCCGGTGAAGGCGGTGAATACGGGTTTGTTGTGATTGGATGCTCAAAATTACAGAGTGTATCAAGCTATACACGGAAAGGGAAAACTTGCTGTTCTGAGTTAGTCAGTCAGGTGACCTTGATCCATTGAGTCATCAGGGTCATGACCCGATCCGACCCGCGGCCACCCTAGACGTGAGCTGCCCTCAACCCTTTTGGTGCTAGCTCCATTCTTAGATAGTTCCAAAAGAGCTACTGCTCAATAGTGATATCGGGCGAATGAAAATTCATCCGGGAATTGCGGAGAAATGCCCATCAACAGGTAGTTATATTCTTTTCGGTTGATCGCAAGTGGAGCCAAGAGTAAGAACATCAATTTAAGGGTATGCCTCATCTGACCAAAGCAGAAATATGCAGTTAAACAGACTAGCCCCGTCCAAACTAGTTCTTCGAAAGAAACGCCCTCTTTGAGCGTTCAACTTTAGTTGCGAGATGAGCCCAAACCATTCTGAGAGATCGGGGGACGACTGGCAGCTATTACGACCCACTTGGTTAGGTCCACAAGTGATCGACCACCCAATCATTGTTTAACATTTACGACAGGGTTCACTCTTCGTCTCCTGGTGATCGAAATATCGTCTTGCTACCCTCGCAGTTTTATGAGAGAAATATTTTTTAATGAAGAAACCTCCAACATACGGAATATCTAAATCGGCAACTTTACCATTATGTACTCGCGCGAACAAAGGCAGTCCGGGTAGGTAACTGGTAATTTCTTCAATGGCTGTTCTCTCTCTGCGGCATGTCGTACAGCAGATCCACTTAGCGCTCGTAAGACAGTGGTCCTGGAAATTTGTCGAATTCTATCTAACTTAGTAAGGAAAGTCCCCCGAGCTATATTCTTCACTATGCGAGGTCTGACCAACAGAGCTTCCTCTGTGGGCTACTGTCACGTGGCTGCACAGCCAAGTTTCAAACTTTCAATACCCCCATGTCCCGCCTGGCCATTGAAAATGGCACGAAAGAGGGAAGACGAGAGAGACCCATGAGCTTGAAACTGTACGGTGTCTTGCTGGAATAAAACCTTCTCAACTTGTAAGTCATTCCCGTAATCTTTCAAGTAGGTCGACTAATTTTCGAGTTTCGTATGCGCCAGGGGACTATCACCAGCATCGTCTCCAGTAGATTCGGTCATAGAGGATAGTGCTACAAGCACAGGCGAAAAGCTGTTTGCGCTAAAATCGCGTTCCCGTTGTAACGCAACGAGCACGGTGATATTATATTCTGATGCTCCATTTGTATTCTCTATGACAAAGGCGTAAGCCAGCAAGCGTAGAGGCTCTAATGTTTGAAGGCTCTTATGGACAGTTACAACCTCGAGTCACTCTCCAGTCAGTTCATGTAAGGATTCTGAGCAATCTCCAAGTGAGATGTTAGTCTGATGACTCTAGAAGACTGGAACTGATCAGAGAAGGGCTAGGATAAACTTGAGAGGTTGAACCGAGTGCTGAAATCCTGGCCATTTATCGTGCCAATATGAATGACCAGAAGGATTTGAGCAATTTCGATCGTAACCCATCCCTGAGATTTTTGTTGCACTAGTGTTAATTCCAGTCTGATATTCAACTTACTGCTCAACATATATCAAAACTGAAGGATTCCTAGGTAGTCTTATAGTCATGACGATAAATGAGCAGATGGCTACTTAAATTATGCTGTTTATATTGAATGTAAAATGCAGCAGTCGCATCGACTACTTAATTATTAGCCATTTATATTCTCGGAGCAAGCTATAACTGCTCAATCCGCCACGTATACCAGTGTCTCCTCCGTATTGCAGCTTCCGCTCACTCCGGCCTTATTACGACTAGAAGCTACGATCGATCGACTTTAGCCAATGTCTCAGAACCACTCCAAGAAGATGCGCACCCTGCGCCTGAGAAAAACAATTTTTAACAAAATCGAATATTTTTGCAAGAAGTGTGACGCTCGGTGCTTTTTGGTACTCCAGACAAAAGGAAACGGAAAGACATACGTACTCAATACAACGGGATGGCATCCTTCCCCAGAGCAGCTGGTGTGTTCTGACTCAGTCACCTTTGAAATTCCGGAAGGGTTCTGACTCCGCCTAGGATTCGTATTTCCCTACGCCTGCCCGAAAATTCATAGATGATTCCTCAGGCGAATCTTCTCACCTCTGAAGAAGTTGTGATGAAGTAAGTCACGTGACACGGGATCGCGGTCAGATCGCATTGACAGCATCCCCGCACTTCTGAGAGAGAAGTCAGAGAACACAAGGAACATAGCATTCAAGTATATCGTTGTGAATATATTGCATTAGTCCCTGGCTAGGCTAGCACGTAGCCTGTACGCGACCTCACTGCTGCTCGATCTCCGGATCCTCCGCATTCCTTCCATCCTTACACAAGAGATATGCGATCTTCTAATTTTGCTGTTGAATCTGCTTGTTTTAATGCCATATTGGGTGAAAGTCTGGATATGATGGTGATTTGGAGGTTGCAAGGTTTCGGGGGCTGAGGCGTGTCTCGCTCGGTGTCCGATTACGTTAAACCTACTTCCCCTTCATTCACTTTAGCCACCTCTTCATCGACAGTTTCCTTCTTCAGGAAGGACGCTTTGCGTGGATTACGGGCCTTGAAGATTTCATTCAGTTCTTCTAGAGTATGGCCCTTGGTCTCAACCATGATGAAATAATAGTATACCGCCTCGGCGAAACAGACAGCTAGGTAGACAAAGTACGTCTTCCAACTGATGCGCTTCAGAGCGACTGGCAGAGCAAACTGGTTGATCAACCCGGCAGCATTGCCGGCCATATTCTGCAAGGCCATCCCCTTGGCACGCTGCTCGTAGGCCAACACCTCGACGGGATACAGTGCCTGCAGCGGGGTATAGGCGGCGGAGAAGACGATACCGATCAAGAAGATGAACGCGATACTTACGTTCGCCGCGGTAACGCTGCCGTGGATCTGATACGCGCCCGTACCCCCGAGCATGCCGCCCCAGAGCAGAGTGAGAGCGAGGCAGCACGAGATGAGCATCTTGCGTCGACCGAAGCGGTCCATCTGGCTGGCACCAATGCAGGCGGCCGCGCCGGATGCGAGCGTGATGCCTAGGTTGATGTCCAGGATGGTGGCGGAGTTCGTGATGCCGGAGGTGGTGAGCATGGCGGGGAGGAAGTACGAGACGCCAGACTGGCCCGTCAGCTGGCTGAAGGCAGAGACGGCGACAGCGCAGAGGATGGCACGATACATGGCGGCGCGCGAGCTGAAGAGCGCGCGGTAGTCCCACCAGCGCTTGTCGGCGCCGTCGAGCTCGAGCTCCTCAGCGAACTCGCGGAGCTCGAGCTGCACGTAGAGCGAGTCCGGGTTGTCGTTGCCGTGGTACTTGACCAGCGACGCGAGGCACTTGTCAACCTGGCCGTGGGCATACTGCCAGCGAGGCGATTCGGGGAAGAGCATGCACCCCGCGAGCAGCACGCAGGGGAAAAACATTTGGAGCCAGGTGGGGATGAGCCATGCGGCATTAGATGTGTAGTGGACGCAGCCGCGCAGGACAACAGCAGCCAGAATGGCACCGAGGTAGTAGCAGCAGTTATACAGACCGGTAATCACACCTCGGTAGGCCGGATGGGCGATTTCGACCACGTACGATGGGCAAGCGACGTTGGCGATGCATGCGCCAAAGCCCAGGAAGAACCGGCCGGCGAGGAATTGCGGGAGACGATGGGACACACCCTCAATGATGGTACCGAGGATGAGGAGACTGCAGCCAATGGCAATGCCCACGCGGCGGCCCCAGGTATCAGTCAGGGGGCCGATGAAGGGCAGCGCGCACACGGAGCCGATGGAGTACATGCTCATGATGATGCCCGTCTGCACTCCGAGAATGGAGGCGTCGAACTGTGACTGGAAGGATGGCATGGCAAGCAAGTTACCCATGAGGGAGCCGTCGTAGCCGCCCATAGTCGACCCGAGGAACATGAGACTGCAGATGGCATAGAGTTGAATCATCCGCTTGCTGAGCTTCGAGATGGGCTCTAGACGGGTGCAGACCGCAAGGGCCGCGACTCCACGCATATTGTGCAAGACATTGACCGTCTCCTCGACATGGTGGGCATCAGCGCCGAATGCTTTTTCATCGACTTGAGACATGGCGCGATAGACAGAGAATATAGGAACAAGACGGGGCAAAGACTGATGAATTATTGCAGGTGCACCTCTGTAGGCAATTCTTTTTCGTACAGACGGATCAATGAATCTTATAGTTTTGTTTTTTTTTTTTTTTTTGACAGTCTATACACCTACTAGGTAAAGGATTTCCGCTGCCTATGGCGGGGGAACTAACTATACCAACTAACTCTGGGGAACCGTCCATCTAATAGAACCATGTGGATTATGGCCAGTGGCGGCGAAAGGCCAGGTCTTTTTTCCCCCGGATTTCGACTTCTATCCAGGCGCACGGACGAAGTACTAAAAAATCTTCTTGTATCCGAAAACAAAACAAAAAAAAGAAAAAGAAAAAAAAAAAAAAAAGCCGAAGTTTTTTCCGAAGAATTTCCCCCGGTGAATGAATGGGCTCTAATTTGCCTGCCAATCCGCCTATGCTGGGGAATTGGGCCGGCGAAGCATTCCCCTGAATGCTCATATTGTTGACACAAACTTCAGCTAGCTGTGACGGTTACTGGCTTACATCATGCGAGACCGGTAGCAGGTGAGTCGGCGAAGAAGCTCTCTTAAGGTTATCAGACTCCAACTCTCTCCCATGGATTAGTTACAGAAACTCCGGGTCGCAAAATTCGTCGGAGTGGCGGCTGTTGGAGACAGATTTCCAAAGTTTGGGCTCGCCGAGGTTTCCTCCGCCGTGCAGGGAGGGTGAGCTGTGGAGGTTCGCTCTCACCGACACAACACACAATAGATAGTAAGTACATGTACTCAGAAGCCGATTCGAAGTAATATTAAAGCGCTACGGAAGACATCTCGCACTTTTTATTGTAGAAAGCAAAATTTCTGCTTTTGTTGCCGCCAATCATGCCCCCCTCCTCAGCCTACTCCTCGACACCACCCGTGATCACTCCCGCCTCGCGGGAGGGCGATGCCAACTACACGCCTCCATCATTTCCAATCGGGCCTTTTACCAAGTACGCAGGCAATCCTGTGCTCGTTCCCAATGCCCAGCACGAGTTTGAATCAGCCTACATCTACAATGCCGCTGCGCTGGTGCTCGACGACACCGTCTTCCTACTGTACCGCGCCCAGAACGCGGCCAAAGTGTCGACAATCGGCCTGGCCTGGTCGACGGATGGGTACAACTTCACTCGACTGGACCGTCCCGTGCTAGAGCCCAGCGAGCCTTGGGAAGCCGGGGGCGGCGTGGAGGATCCCCGCGTAGTCCGCATCGACGGGGTCTTCTACATGACATACACGGCGTGGGACCTGCACAAACCGCGCCTGTGCCTCGCAACGTCGACTGATTTGGTGCATTGGGAGAAACAAGGGGGGCCGCTGTTCCCAGACTTTGTTGATGTCGAGTGCACGCCTGAGGGAAGGACACAGATCAGGAAAGGCCATACCAAGTCGGGGGCTGTCTTCCCCGAACGGAATGCCGATGGTCTCTATATGATGATCTTTGGAGATGCCTTCCTCTGTGTGGCCGAGAGCGATGACCTGATACACTGGCGGGCGAGGCCGTTCAATGAACATTTTGCAACTGGGGTTCATCCCTGGGAGAACCGTCTGCTCGAGCCCGGGCCGACCCCGATCAAAACTAGGGATGGCCGGTGGATTCTCGTCTACAATGTTGCCACAACAGGGGCTCCAGGGTATAGGAACAACCAGTATTCGATTAGCCAGATGCTCGTCGACCATAATCGCCTGCGCGAAGGCCCGCTGGCCCGGCTCGACCGGCCATCGCTGGTCGTGTCGGCGGAGAATGAGCGTAGCGGGCAGGTGAATGAGGTGGTCTTTTGCGAGGGCATGGTGCAGTTCCAGGGCCGTTGGTTCATGTACTATGGTCAGGGTGACAGCGAGCTCGGAGTCGCGACGGCTGATGTCCGGTAATGAAATAGACAGACAGACAGAAGATGCAACTTAGCATTTATAGGATCTTAATAAACCAGCTTAGGAGTATGCAGAATAGACCATAATCACCATCCGTTCATATTTAGGGATGTATTAGCATTAGCGTTAGTACCATGAGTTGTAGAAGAAGAAGAAGAGGGAGAAGATGCAGCAATAGCCGTGAGTTCCGGCACAGTAAACTCAAGATGCAAGCTCCGGAGATCGCGAAAGGTCCAGAAAACGGAGTATCCATCAGTCTGGTCGATGGTCCAGGGTCCCGGTCCGATCTCCTCGCGCACCAGGCGAGCCAGGTCAGGGAACCGGTTCTGCGCATCGTCCCAGAGGTTCAACAGGCCCCGGATGTTCTCAAACTGCGTTCGGTGCCAGAGACGCAGCAGGGCCCGCGCTGTTGCGGCCTGAATATCCAACAGCAACGCCCAGTGCGTCGGCATTTCAGGCGGGCAGATCAGCACGGAGCGGGCCAGAGCGCATATGTAGTGAAGCACGCCCGGCACGGGACGTAGGGCGAGTAAGGTGCCGAGTGTGTCTTGCCAGTCGATTATTGTAGTGTAAAGGGATAAAAGCACCAGGTTGTGCAGAGAGTGGATGACGACCGCTTCAGGTCTAGCCGGCATCTCGTCGCGCAAATCCAGCAACGTCGACGGTAACTGGACAGCCCAAAGTAAACACTCATATTCCAGCCTGGACCATGCCAGCCTGGACTCCGGTCCGATGCCGTCGCGTTCCGCCACACTGCGCAGCCTATTGTAGCTCAATGCCAGGTTGGAGATGCGGATGTAATGGTGCCCAAACGTTGAGTGGTCCAGTGACTGCAAGAAGTCCTGCAGGCAGTCCTCTGGAAGACTCAGTGGTGCAGGCGAACGGCCCACCAGACGCAGCCAGGTGTTTGTGAGGACGGTGCCGGCGAGGATGGGCAAGGGAAGTACTTCGCCAGCGAGACTAGCTGTCTGAACGGCGTGGAAGAGCTGTTGTCCGTTAGCTCCTGCATGGGATAGATGAGATCAGATGGGGGACTTGCTCGCTGAATGAGGCTGTCATCCAAAGGCATCCGCAGCACCAGAAGCAGGATGCCTGCGATCACTGGGAGCGACAACTCTCCCTGCGCAACCATTCCAAGCAGTTGATCTGCGGCCGGTTGAGGGTGCTGCTTTTGATTGTGATGCAACCAAAGGCTGGCAGCCAGCTCGACGCAGTGCTTCAGAATCGGATCCCAGTCCCCATTGCTCTCCACAATCATCTCGGGAGGCAGAAACGGCGTAAGTGGATAGACATGTCTCCAGTACTTCTCCGCCGTAGATTCCGGCCTATCTGGGACATCATCTTTCAGGATGATCTTGTCTCCCGAACTACCTGTTCCTCCGGCGCGAGTCAACTGACAATCGCCATCCTTCACGAGAGTGACGACTCTGTAGGACTGTGGCCATCGCCACCGGGGACTGCCAGTAGCAGCAGTGGCGGCGGCGGCGGCTGCTGAGAGATGTGATGCAATGCGCTGAGAGGTCCTGCGGCGCTTCAGGCTTGGCTGACGCAGGCTGAATTGGCAGATGAGGTCGAGATGCTCGCAATCAACGCATCGGACAGCACACGCATAAGGCAAGACGCATTTTTTCTTGCGGTGCCTACAGTAGTCGCACGATTTGAACATGGGTGGGGGGAACTAGGACCTAGATACAGTACCGAGGTATGTTTGGAGAGATTGGAAGATGATCAATTGGATACAGATAACAAACATCGGGGCACCAAGTCAAAAAGAGGAAGAAGAGGAATATTCAGGCTACGTCGCACTACTTACTACAGAGGCGACTGGAGAACCTGGGCGGAGTTTACATCGGAATTCCCCACATCGTCACACGGGAACCTTGCCAGGATCCCGACATTGCTCCGACGGCACCACATTATGTACACCTATGTGGTGGATAGCTCATCTGATCAGTTTCCAAGCAAGGGTTCAGTTCTTGTTTCAATTCGATGAATTGGTCTCTCCATCCCAACCAGGGATGTTGTCTGCATGTACTGTACTACTATACTACTATACTGTGAACTAACCAGTTCAAATAGCTGTTCTGGACAATTGTTGGGTACTGTACCCTGTATTAAGCTCAGCTGCTTTGTGTGATAGTGCTAATCCTGATATGGAAGGTCCATATCGTCCTGACGATTACCGACTCCATCAGTGGTGGAAACTCTCCATAGTATGGATCTATGTATCCCCCGCACAATATCTATCCCCACTTGTCGTCGGAGAAATCATCGGGTTTTGGATCTTAAATTGAAATATCCCACCCAGTGTACAGCTTCTGGGACACATAGTAAGTATAGAAAAGAAGAGCGTCCTCAGCTGTGCGACCCTCCCTCCCATCATGGCTTTGCAGAGTTCCTCGGAGAGTTGCTTTATTGTGCATTGTTTCCTCCTCCCTCGACCATGTCATTATCAACGGCCGCGACCCTCTCCGGCTGGAGATGGCGCCAGTACGGAAAAGACGAAGAATGGCAAAAATGTGCTCACAACAACCCCACAACAGAGATCTTCACTGACCTTCTGGACGCGAAGAGGATCTCGGATCCTTTCCTCGACCAGAATGAACGCCTGGTCCAGTGGGTGGGAGAGACCGACTGGGAGTATGCCTGCGACTTCCAGTACAAGCTCGATGAGCACCACTCCCGGCAGGATCTTGTTTTTGAGGGTCTCGATACCGTCGCGTCCGTCCATCTGAACGACGAGCACGAGATTCTCCAGTCGACCAACATGTTCCACCGGCACCGTGTGGACGTGACGGGCCAGCTGCGCGAGGGTACCAATACCCTCCGCATCGTCTTCCGCAATGTTCTGCAGTATGGCCGAGCCCTCGAGGCAAAGCACGGTCGCTATCGTGCCTTCAACGGCGACAGCTCCCGACTGCACGTCCGCAAAGCTCAGTATCATTATGGCTGGGACTGGGGCCCCCTGCTGCTCACCTGCGGCCCGTATCGCGAAATCAGGCTGGAGAGCTACGCCTCCATCACCAGTGATGTCTTTGTCACCGCCAAGGTTTCGGAAGATCTCAGCAAGGCGACCTTGGAGGTCTCACTGGAAGCAATTCTGGACCAGGACGTCTGCGTTAATATCAAGGTCACCTCTCCCAGTGAGAAGGTTTTTCACGCACACACGGCGCTTGCTGCGACGGAAGCCCGCGGCTTGATATCGCTGGATATTCCGAAGCCTGAGCTCTGGTACCCCGTTGGCCATGGGCCACAGGTATTCTATCTCGTGGATGTCGACATCTACGGTCGTCAGAATGCCTCTCTGCATTCTATCAAGAAGCAGGTGGGCGTGCGACGCCTCCGCCTGGTGCAACAGCCCTTGGTCAACGAGCCTGGCACCAGCTTTTTCTTTGAAGTCAACAACCAGCCGATCTACATCTCTGGGAGCAACTGGATCCCAGATCACTCCTTCCTAACCGCCCTGACGCCCAAGGACTATGCATCCGCCGTCGAGACCTGTCTGGAGGGAAACCAAAACATGCTTCGTATCTGGGGCGGAGGCGTCTACGAACATGACGCGTTGTACGAGGAGTGTGACCGGCGCGGCGTGCTAGTCTGGCAGGATTTTATGTTCGCGTGCGGCCAGTATCCTTGCTACCCGGAATTTGCAGCAAGCGTGCAGCGGGAAGCCGTGGACCAGGTGAAGCGGTTAAGACAGTATTGTTCCATCGTTCTGTACGCCGGCAACAACGAGGACTACGCTGTCGCCGAGATGCTCAAGCTGGACTGGAACCCAGATGACCACTCCGGCGACTGGACAAACACCAATTTCCCGGCCCGGACCCTCTATGAAACGCATCTGCCCGCCATTGTCGCCGACCACGCACCCGGGATTCCCTACCACCCGAGCTCCCCCTGGGGGGGCAAGAGCACCGAGGATCGCACAGTGGGCGACATCCATCAGTGGAACGTGTGGCACGGCTCTCAGGCAAAGTATCAGTGTTGGGATAAGCTCGTCGGACGTTTTGTCTCTGAGTTTGGCATGCTCGGTTTCCCCGCGGCCAAGTCCGTCTGTCGCTTTGTCACCGATCCCAAGCAGAGGTATCCCCAGAGTGCGGTCCTGGATCTTCATAACAAAGCCGACGGGGCTGAACGCCGGTTGGCGCTCTATGTCATGGAAAATCTAAGGGTGGCCTCCATGGACCTGGATAGCTGGATCTACGCCACGCAACTAGTCCAGGCTGAATGTCTTGGTTTTGCTGTTCGCAGCTGCCGACGTCAGTGGAAGGGTCCTGGTCGTGAATACTGCGGTGGACACTTGGTCTGGCAGGTATGATGCACCCACTGTTTCGGCCCTATTCACTTGTTTCCAGTTTTGCTGACTTGCTGAGTAGATTAATGACTGCTGGCCCGTCTCCAGCTGGGCACTGGTCGACTTCTACGGTGAACGGAAACTCGCCTACTACGCGATGAAGCGCGACAGCGCAGCACTGTCTCTCGGGATCAGCCGCTCGACTCCCGAACTGAAGAAACTCAAGTCGCCACCCTCGGTAGAATTGGGACCCCCTCACGACCTTGCACCCAAGAAATACATCTTCGATGTCTGGGCTGTAAACTTGACCATGCAAGACGTTCACGTCGCCATTGAGGTGCGGCTATACGACATCGCAACCGGATCCCTGCGTGAAAAGGAATCTCTTGGATCTCAGACTCTCGCATCTAATCGCACGACCGAGCTGCTCGAAGATCTGAGCGTGGATCAGACGACGGTAATCCATGCATTAATGCTGGATGACAAGGATGGCCGTGTCATTGCTCGTGCGTCAGACTGGCCGCAGCCGCTGAAGCATGTCAATCTGCCGACTTCGCCTAATGTGACTGTTTCCGTGCTTGATGGTAAGGTCGAGATCCGGGCGGATGCGCCAGTCAAGGGCGTTGAAGTCTATATGGCTAGTGATAAGCGCAATGTCTCGTGGGATGATAATGGCGTGGATGTGTTTCCGGATGATGTGTATACCATTCATGCGAAGGGGCTCGTCAAGGGTGATGATGTGCGTATTAGATATTATGGTGCCGCGTTCTGAGGCTCAGGGATCGTTTCGAGGTCCGCTGTTGAGTTTGCTTACATAACTATCCGGTAACCTTGAGCAAATATAGAAATAGACTTGATTGAGTTTTCTGCTTTAGATGTAGGGATTGAGTTGTGTGTTTTGAGAAATTTACAGGTCTCCGAGATACTGGAATGACATGTCGATAGGGAGAGTTGCTGTAAAGCGTCAGGAATAATTATGACAAAGATCGCCATGGCTAGATCATGATATATACAAAAGAAATTGAGCACTGAACACATGACTCCGAATACAAACCTACATTACACATAAGACTTTGCAAGTTGATCATTTCGTAACCGGAAGTGTAATATTTATCTCCCTGCTGTAAGGTCATTCGGAGAAATGGGCGGGAAAAATAGCGGAAACTGAGCATTGACACGGTGAAGACTACCTAAAGCAGCGCCAATGAAGGAATGCCCAGAACGGGGAAATGTGGCGGGATTTGTCGCAAACCTAAATCTAAGGTTGTTTTTTTTTTTTTTTTTTTTCCGACGTTTTATCCGACCGAAAGCTTGCGCTGATATCGGATCAGTCAGATCAGGCAGGTCTTTGCAACCCCGTGGATCATTCCCCCACAGTGACGCGACAGGCAAGACTGCTACGGATTTGAACAAGCAATGATCAGCAGCGAGATGGGCAAATCGTGCGGAAAGCTTCATTTTCCCCTCATCAGCTAATTCTCCGTCTGGCACATCCAGGAAAGACTTTGTACAAATTCTTCCTGAGAAGGAAGAAACGAAGGTTGCAACAGGCTGATCACAGTAGTAAATTGCAGCTAACAAAGGGCAATCCACCGTCGCAATTATTTAAGAAGCAGCTGTTTCGCCATGGAATTGCCTAGCAGAGAAAACAAAAGGCCCAACCGGAGCACAATTCTTCGAGAGTGAGAAGAACTTTTCATAACATTTCCCCCCATGATGAAACTCTCAGCTCAGGCTCTCTTATTCTTGTGCCTTTCTGCTGTCAATACCCGAGCAGCTCCCTCGTCGCCGCAGGATAATAATCAGACATCATACGGATCAGATACGCCTCCCAAGATCACAGCACAGACGCGTGAGAACGAAGCCAACTACACTGCTCCCTACTTCCCTCTGCTTGGATTCACCCAATATGAGCACAATCCGATCCTTTCGCCCAACCCCGCTAACGCCTGGGAGTCCGCCTACCTGTACAACCCCAGCGCCATTGTCCTAGACGACAAGGTCTTCCTTCTCTATCGCGCACAGGACGAGGAGAAAACGTCCAGCATCGGGCTCGCCTGGTCTGAGGACGGCTACAACTTCACCCGGTATAACAAACCGGTCGTCTCAGCCACGGAATGGTACGAACACATCGGTGGCTGCGAGGACCCTCGTGTCGTTCGCGTCAACGGTACATTCTACCTCACGTATACGGGGTATGACAACGTCACCGCGCGGCTGTGTCTCGCTACTTCAACCGATCTGGTGAACTGGAAGAAGTACGGACCAATACTTCCCGACTACGAGAGTGTGGTTTACGACTGGAGAGACCCCAAGGCTTATTTTGGCCTCAATAAGAAGGGCTGGACCAAGAGCGGAGCCATCATCCCTGAGCGTCAGCCAGATGGGTACTACTACATGCAGTTCGGAGATACTTATCTTTATACAGCCAACTCGACAGATCTGATTCACTGGAACGTGTCTGGAGATGGAGTGCCGTTTGCCCCGCCCCTGAATGTTTGGGAGCAGGGACTGATGGAGTCGGGCCCTCCGCCAGTCAAGACCCGGGATGGGAAATGGTTGAAGGTTTACAACGGCATGGCAACGGGCTTAGGCGGATACACAGCCACTCAATATAGTACTGGACAGTTGCTCATTGATCCGGCCAATGCTCCGCTGGGGCCTCCACTGGCTCGTATCGAAACGCCGATTTTGCAGCCAACCACGGCAACGGAAATTCAAGGGCAGGTCGACAACGTGGTATTTAGTGAGGGCCTGGTTCAGTTCAAGGGGAAATGGCTGCTTTACTTTGGAGCAGGTGATGCTTTTCTTTCTGTTGCGCATGCTCCTGTTCAGCAATAGCCGGAGCCGCGAAGCGCAATCGATCCATCCAAGTATATAGTAATCATGTCCTGTTGATAAGAACTAGTTAAATGACGCATGATTCTCCGACGAATTCTTCTATGTTGCAATTTAAAGATGTCCAAGAATTTACTCTATGCCGACGAAATCAATTGTTCGGACTGAAGGACGATATTGCGTTCCACTGTATACGAGGCTACAGTTCAGTGGGGAGTAGAATAATACTGTGAACCTAAGGCTATGATAATACTCAGATTCTGATCACTCAGTAATTGGGCATTACTCATCTATAATAGTCTGAATAGTTAATCAATATGCATGATTAGTTACTATCTTTATTATTATTATTATTATTAATTTCATTCACGCGTCTGTCAGCCCTATCAGCCGAGTGGCGGCAGGTCCCTGCTAGCGGCTGGGTACGCCGCTACTATCTTACATACACTAGATCCACAGCGAGCACGAATTCGTCCCTAATACCCCCGTAGATGCGCCCAGCATAACACCCATTGCTCCTATCTTCGCGTCTAGATGATCTAACCACGCTGAGAGGTGTCTAGCCTAGTGTTCTCCCTCGTCAAATAAGCCCTGCAAGCGAGCCGTGGCGGTACACAGGTTAGGGGTCGCCACCCGTATTACTAACCTGGAATGTGTCTGGTAAGCCCTGGAACTGGCCTAGGAGCCTCGTAGCGATCATGAAGCGGGCGGCTCGCCGCACTGACTCAGGCTTGCGAAGCAGGCGAGCGTAGTTAGTCTCCCGTGAGTGCTGCCAGCAACCAGCACAAGTCCCACAGTCCCAAAAACACCAATCATCGCAGCAGGGACGACGCCTAGGCCCGAGGTCGACGACTGTGTGACAGAGCTGGACCCAATACTAGAACTACTTCCAGTGTCTGCCAGCGTAGCTTGTACCGCATACGTGGGGGTTCCCGAAGCCAGAAGAAACTGTACTGTCACGAGCTTCGACGGCGCAGGGCCGGGATAGACCTCGTCCGAGGGATCAAAGCATATTTCGGCGCAGAAACTTGGTGGCCTGGCTGTACCCGGCCCGGACCTTGACCAGGCTCTCCCCTAATCTCAAATCGAGTGAACAAACACCTAAAAGATCTATCTACTGTTATTCTAACAGGAGCAAGAGCAGTTCTCCCAGTGTTCCGCACCACCCCAATACCTATTCTACACCGTGAATCTGGCTTCTACCCCCCAGAAATCGAGTTGGATTAGATCGTCCTTACAGCGTCTACGCGTCTCTCCCGATTAGATCCGGATCACCCTCTTCAGAAACGGGCCAAAGCTATTATACGGAAAGGCCATCCAACCAGCCGATTCGCACGCCGGGTACTAATGTTACCCCACTCAGAACAGGTTAACCCACTGATCCACCCACCCTGGCTTAAGCATGAACCGAGGGAAGCAGCCTTAGCGCGGGTTGGGGCCCTAGAAGGCCTTACAAAAGAGCAAGCCGCAGACAACTTCCGAACACTCCTCCAATCTATCCCTGAAAACGACATCGTCATCTACTCTGATGGATCTAAACAAGATAATGGACAAGCAGGCGCAGGGTTTGTGGGATTCATAGCTGGCTGCCAGGTCTTATGCAGCTCATTCCCCCTGGGTCCTAATAAAGAGGTCTTCGACGCAGAAGCGATAGCAGCTCTCTTAGGACTAAAAGCCGCTATAAAGCACCTAGGCTCCCATGCAGCATCTAACATATGGATATGTCTGGACAACCTGGAAGTAGCAATCCAGCTTCTATCCTCAACTACCGGCTCGTCACAGGAAGTCTTCGAGGACTTCCGCACACTCGCTGCCACCTGGATATCCCGCCAAACACGCCCATTAACTGAGAATGGCCCAATCCGGATCCGCTGGGTCCCTGGACATGCGAGCATTCCTGGCAATGAAGCAGCAGACCAGGCCGCTAAAGAAGGCGCGAACCAAACCCTGTCTTCCCTTTACTTATGGTCATATGCAGCCCTTAAGCGACACACTAAATCATCAGCAGCTGCCCAGGCTCAGACCTACTGGAAGAAAGTCGCACCGCAGGCCTATCAAGACCTCGAGATTACCACTTTCCTAACCCGCCCAGAAGAGCTCAAACTTCCCCGCCCTATATTAGGGCGGATCCTAGCTGCGCGCTCCAAGCATGGTGACTTCGCAGAGTACCATGAACGGTTTCACCATCAAGATGCACACCTATTTTGTCGATGCGGCACGAGGAAGTCACCAATACATTTCTTCTTCTGCCGGATTGCAAAAAGAAAGATTGCCCGGCCCCCTGGACCTCCTGGACCCCCGTCTGAGATCATCCCCTTCCTTCTAGGCACTCCAAGAGGCGCTATTAAACTGGCTGCTTGGTTCTCAGAGTCTCGATTCTTTGAGGATATCTGTCCTCGATGCCCTCCTCTTAGCACCTAAGCTAAGTATCACTAACAACTTTATTACATTTCTTTTGTCTTTTCTTTATTTCCCTTTTCTTTCATCTTAAGTTCTATCAGTGTTGAACAGGTTGGAGTCGGTCATGGGGAGTAGGTGGACCACTGCAGCTGGCAGCAACGCTAAGCCTCCATACGATATAGGCCATCCATCTGACCATGGCAGCTATGTAAAAGCGCCAAAGAGTCACTTCTTGTAACTAGTTCTTGACACCCAGGGCTTACCCCCTGGCGGCCTTTGTCCCACTAGGGAATGGGTAGGCAGTGATTAATCACGGCCTACGGCCGTTAAATAATGACACACACACACACACAAGGGTGGGCTATAAGATATATATAAAACATAAAGCCTTATCCTTCATTGGGGCGCTATTGATTGTGGGAACAGACCAGGTCCAGCCTCAAAGGTCTATGATACTGTGACCTGATCACTGGATGAGACACAATATGCATACCCGAGCCAGAGGTTATCACAGGCTGCATCCACCTCGGTATTCCATGATCGAAACTGATCCATGGTTATCCCATACGCCTCGTCAATTGCGTCGCAAGTATCTCCGCTTTCCACGGTATGCCATATATAACAATTGGCAGTTGTCCCGAGGGCGGTCTGTGTGGGAGCAGAAACATACGTCGAGGTGGATGAGGCAGTGCTACTGGTCGGAGACGCCGAAGACAACCCGTTATTTGAGGAGACGCAATATGCGTATCCAATCTGTAGATTGTCACAGGCGTCATCAATCGCAGGGTTCCATGTCCGTAGCTGGTCGAAGGTGATTCCATAGGCTTGGTCAATGACAAAACACGAGTCTCCACTCTGAACTGTGTACCAGGCATAGCAGTCTGCGGTAGTACCAGCTGGCTCAGCTGAGGAAACTTGCAAAAGTCTACTTAAGCCACACGATATACCTATCCTGGCAACTCAGTGATGTCCTACGTTGAAGCTTCGTAGCCATCTTGCTGCGTGGCAAGTCCGTAGCAGACCTGGTATTACCAATTGTTAGCAGTCCCGAAGTGTCTTAAAAAGCAGATTAACCCAATACAGTGACTCATCATTATCATTTGGTGCCTTCATGGGCACAGCCCATTTCAGATACAATAAGGCCCTAATCATACTGTGTCAACACTGCTTTAAATCCATGCCATAGATACTGACGCAGCATAATCGGCATCCATTATAACCATGTCCTTCCCGGATACCCTGAGTCCTCCGGTGGTTCCGCATTTCTTCCACCTCTTCGCAGATCCCAAAACCGCATTGCGTGTTGTTGATTTTTTCGCATCGGAGCAGGGATCCTGCACTCCGCAGGTGAATATAAATCTGCGCGAATGAGGACCACAACATGGATCTGGACGTGGCCAACCCAATTAGGGCCCAGCGCTACCTGCATTGCTCGATAAGTTTGGCCCACAAGTCTACCCCTGGCTTACAAGATATGCCCGCCTCCTCCCCTCTGGTTCCAGGAGAATGGCCCTTTGGTTCCCCCATGGGAGAGCGGCGCAGATGTGATCATCGTTGATGACCCGCAGCTGTTGTTCTTGATTCCCTTGATCAAGCGACAGACTCCGGATCGGCCAGTCATCTTTCGTAGTCACATGCAAATCAGAAGTGGTCTGACTGACACTCCTGGGACTCCCCAGGCTGAAGCTTGGGTTGTTGTGGGAGGCGATTAAGCAGGCCGATCTGTTCATTAGTCACCCCGTACGTGCATTTGTTCCAGAGGATGTCCCTCATCAAAAGCTGGGGTATCTTCCAGCATCAACAGATTGGCTGGATGGGTTGAACAAACCAATGACAGACTGGACTGCCAGTTACTATGGGCAGATCTTCAACTCCAAGTGTAGAGAACAATTTATGACAAACATTGTATTCCCAGATGGTCAGTAACCCTCGTGCCTTGTTCTCGCCTCTTCCCCGGACTAGGGACCACTGACATATTGCTTTACCTAGAGGAATATATCGTCAAAGTTGCCCGGTTTGACCCTTCCAAAGGAATTCAAGATTTCGTAATCTCGTACGGGGCATATACCAACATCTCGTGGATCCCCGTCCAGATTTAAGGCCTCCTAAATTGCTCATCTGTGGACACGGATCAGTGGATGACCCAGGCGGCTCATTAGTGTGGGATAACACCTTGTATTTCATCGGGCGGCATTTGAAGCATTTGCAGTCACTCATCTGCGTCATGCGCATTGACCCTAGTGACCAGATGCTTCATACGCTCCTGTCCAGAGCAAAGATTGCCCTCTAGCTCTCTACTCGTCAGGGATTCGAGGTCAAGGGCTCAGAGGCACTCCACATGTGCTAACCAGTAATTGCGACACGAGCTGGTGAGATTTCATTGCAGATCCAACACGGAAAAAATGGCTTCCTGGTCAACGTTGGTGATACTAATGCGGTGGTGGAGCTTGAAAATTTGACCAAATTTCAATGCCAGGGGCTATACCGGTGGTCAGTACAGCGGACGAAGATCCTACTTCTTCCTCGCCGTCCCAGGGTTATCAGTTGAAGTATGGATACGCATCAGATTCAAGTATCTATGCTTCAAAGCGTCACCTCATATGTATGTTCCCGTGATTGTGATACTTCAAGACTGCACCATGCTAGGTACAGTTTAGTTTTTAACCAACCTTTTATACGGATGGATCATCCATAGGCAACACCCTCTAAATTTTGGTAAAGCAAGAGCTTTGATTTCTTTGACTTCGACGAGTCTTCCTTGGCAGCCTCACAATGCAGTACTATCCCTAGTCATTATGAGTACAGAGAGATCAGGAAGTTTTGTGGAGACAGTCTTATTTCCGAATGTAGTATGGAGTGCCAACTCGAATATTAAACAATGAAAAGATGAATAAGGATATCCCTCATAAATTCCGAGCCAGGAAGCCATCTTATTATTTCGTCCCGCATGTCCCATTGCTCTGAATATGCCCAAAATCCAGTCCCATATTACCCTCGCAGAAGAAATACTGCACAGCAGTCGAACCGCTGATTCAACACGGACGTTCAAAGAACACGGCGGTTCTCGGCCTTCTTCTCTTGCGGGACGCGTCCGGATCCTCTTCTAAATAGTCGATGCAAGACTTTTCCACAGGCAGTCACTACTCGCGGGAGCAACGTTGGTTTGTAGTGGCGAACACGGAAAACATAGTACAAGATTGCAGGCCCTGCAATGTTAAAGCCAATATAGGTCCGGCCAATTCTGAAGTTGCGCCAGCGTTGACTGTAGTCTGATATATGATCATGATTAGCACTTGAACAGCACTGAGCAGTTAGGAAGAGTTCGCATAGTTCAAACCGCCACTTACACATCTTGCTTGGGGAAAGATACTGGTCTGCGGTAGTAAAAGCACAGAACTCGCATCTCGTCGTGGCAGAGAGGTTGTATAGTTGGCCTGGCGATACACGCAACCAATCCGCCAGGCATTGACCGCATGTCTGGCCTTGAGACAGAGAGAATACACTGAGCTCCCTGCTAGAAAATTGCACTCTACGCCTGTGCAGTGCATTGCCGCACATTCCAGCGATCAAGTAGGTTAGGGGCGAGACACGGTACATGAATATCCAGAATCCCGGGAGCGTGGTTGGGGTCCGCATGACTCCCTTAAACGTTAGAATGAGGCAAAGGACAATGTTGCAACGGTTTCTGTTCACTGTTGGACTTGTTCACTGTTGGACTTGTGTCAGCTAATGTTCTCACTGGGTCACTTCTTGTTAGACTGGGGATATTCTACCTGCAGTTCCGGCATCGGGTAAGGACGAGACGACCAGGTCTGCGAAGCTCGAGGTGAAGAGATAGAATTGAATCACAAGTTGCAGCATTAGTCCCTGCTTATCCGAGCTCTGATTTGCCCCGTAAACCGGATAGTAGTAACTCGCCCAGACTAGAACTCCGAGAATGGTCTGGTACGGAATTTCAACAACGATATTCGAGACAACGAACGCCACCCATGAGTAAGCTTTGGATGCGCCGTTCGCGAACCTCATACAACGAGCGCTGTGTAGAAAATTCAGGCATTATTCTGCGGGTCAGTTAGGGACAAAGGCTTCAAATATCATGGATTAGGGATCAGCGGGCTAGACTTACTGTTGGACCAATGTGGAGAAGACTGAAGTCAAGATGAAGGGACTGAATAGACGGTTCTGTATCCCCTGAATTCATTGTCCATGCAGGAAGTAAGAAAAACCAATGGAAAAAGCCGGAACGACGCCTAGCATGAACTTTGCTCCGATGTAGGCAGGGTCACGCCAGAACTGCTGAAATACCCGGCGAGTCACCCGCCACAACTGAGCAATGAGCGGCATGGCATATTCTCCCTGTTCGTCAGACCTTTACCAATCGGTACAAGTCCACCGTTAGGAACAGATTGTGTGGCACGGATGCGACCTAGTTCGGCTTTTACTTCGCGCGCTTCAAGGCTTTCTTTCCAAAATACCGGCCAGTCTTTGGTAGCTTGGCCAGCCGCACCAGCGCCAATGATTTCCAACATGTATCCGGCAGGCTGAAATTACAGTTATCAGACCCTTGCGACATGCCTTTAGAGAGATAACGCATTGGACTTACATTCTCGGATGGGTCACACTTCCTTGCTCCGTTCCGCTCGAAGTAACCTAGCAGTGTCCTGGACTGCTTCCCAATTTGGCCAAAGTAAACGGTTCTCCCATCTTTAGCCAGGAAGAGAAGAGGATGGAACTGCTGAAATAGAAATGTGCTTGGCTGGTGGATGGTTGAAAGAACTGCCTGTCCGTTCTCTGCGAGCTTCCGGAGAAAGGCGCAAATAGACCATGCACTTTGCAAATCTAGCCCGCTTGTGGGCTCATAAAGGAACAGGAGAAGTTTGGGTTTGGCGGCGTGTTTGACTCCAATGGTCAAGAGTTTCCGCTGCTCCACATTGAGGCCTTCTCCTAGCGTACCGACAACAGCCTCCGCGAAGCCCTTCATATTCAGCATCTTGATCACTTGTTCCACGTAGTCATACTTCTCTGCCTTGGAAACGCTCTTAGGCTGCCGCAGCATTGCGCTGGATCTCAGAGCCTCTCGTACAGTGGATATAGCGAGGTGGAGATCCTGTTGCTGCACGTACCCGGTTTGTTGTTAAAGCTTGCTGGTAGAGACCCTCGGTTGACCAACATATCCCCAGTAACCACACCGATTGAGACCCACTGTGCAAGAACATCCAGCAACGTGGTCTTTCCAGCTCCAGACACGCCCATCAAGACTGTAAGAGCTCCTGGCCTGACCCAGCTGTCAACATGATCGAGAAGGAGGCGCTGTCCTCCTTTTACCGGGATATCGGAACAGAGGTCTCTGCCAGGTGAAGATGCTCCGCTGTTCTGGGATGACTGTACTCAAGCCAACGGGCTCTCCATTCTCCGTTGGCGGCGGCTCCAGAGCCAGTGTCTGGCAGGTGGGAGTCTTTTCTGTATCCTGAATAGTCGGTTGCATGTAGGCAGAAACGTGACCACCCCTAAGGACAAGAAATTCAGCTGTGGACGACGTGGCGAAACTCTTCTTTGTCGCAATGAGGTAGGTACATGCAAGTAAAGAACATCCAGAAGCCGACCAACAAGCAACGTCAGTGTTGAAGCTCTGTCGTTCCACATCTTAAGGAAGCCAGTTGTTATTAACTACCCAATCGAGAGGCAATGATCCTGATGTCAGGTAGCAGTTAGACGGGCCTCTGATAGTCCCTTGTCATGCACAGTTTGAGTTGCATTAGAACGGAGATGAGATATGGACTTCCTGGCTGGACGTGCTCTGCCTGCTCCATACGCTTCCCAGCTGTAACATCCTCTTGCCCGTGGCCCCCAAGAGGATATTCAGACTCATACTGACCTCCAGAAGGGCAGCCTATTCCGGGTTTCTCTTTCAGTAGCTCTCAAACTCTTCAGGAGTCCGCGGAACCGTATCTTCCATCCCTTCTTGGGCCATGCGCTCTTGAGGGTTAGTAACGGAAGTAAGAAAGTCTCCAACCGTCTGTCGAGGAGGATTGACCCAACCCATCGTGATGAAATATTTCTCTGCCTGCTTGCATTGCCCAAAGTAGATTTCCCGGCCTTCATACAAGACAATCACCTTGTCGAATGCGTCATAGATTGCTTGAGATGCCTGGTGGGTGGCTACAGCATAGCAGCTTCTGGTCAGATTGGCTGATATTCGCAATGCTTTCACAAATTCCAGGGCACTGGCGGCATCAAGACCCCGTGTACTCTTATCCCAAGCAGCACGAGGAGCTCGTGCGACTACAGCCACAAGGAAGACAACATGTTAGCCGAATCTACCCTCACATTTGCCAAATCTCTTGGAGCTCGGGTTTCATCTTACCGGCCATCTCGGCGATACTGCGATGTAACAATGTCAGCCGCCACTCGTGCTTGGGAAATTGTAGAGTCAATAGGCTATAGGGCAGAAGGATGAATGAGCAAATGGATTTCTTACCCGACACGCTTTCATTCTCCACCAGATACTCCTCGAATATAATCGTCCCCAACTGCAAATTCGGAATTGTAGCACTCTTTGAAGGCGAACCAGCCCTACGCATCGGCACCCGCTCAAGAGCCGTGTTGTCGCGGAGGAACATTCGTTCACCGTCCCGTTACTCTACGTTGAAGAAGGTTTGACATGAGAAAATTATTAATATATAAAAGCTGAGATTGCCTCCTCAGCAGGACAATTCCCCAGCTCGGCTGGCTGTTGACGAGCCATGGAGGCTATTGCAGCGCTGGTTGGGCTCCAGCATGCTGGTCGGAATAGTCTAACTGAAACGGTAATCTGAGTGAATGTAAAATATATCATCTGATACCAAAGATACGGTGCTTCGACACAAGCTAAATGATAGCAAGAACCACAGCCCCCACAACCCCAGGTAGAAGCCCCGGAGCTGCGGTTCTCATCGCAGCCAACCCACTCGACGTTTCCGTCGTCGGGTTCTCCGTCGGTGCAGGCGCATAAGCCGTCACCGTCGGAGGGAAGTCTCCCACAGCCCGCGGAATTTGCGGACTGCTCGTCCCCATCTCCAATATCTCATCGGACCCTGGGTTTTTGTTCAACGGGGCAATCCCGACCATCATGCTGTTGTAGTCAACGGCTAGGTAGATATTCGACAGGAATAGGCTGCCTAGGACCCCGGTCCAGGAGCCCTTGTCATCGTCGGATGGGGTGATATAGAAGGAACATGTGTCTGGGTCGTTGTATTCCTCTGATAGGAATGCGCTCCAGGAGATGGGGATGGTGCTGTTGCCAATTAGGAAGGCGATGGTGTGGTTTTCCGAGCGGCGGGTGCAGGGGACTTGGGGCGGAGGCCAGTAGCCGTTTTCCCATTGAAAAGAGGAGAGATTGAGGGCGGCATAGAGGTCCATTGTCATGGCGCGGGGGAGGTTGGTCGTTATGTATCTGCTATACAGGGGGAATCTTGCGACTGGGATTGTAGAGGTTATCGTTGAGTTCTGGGAGTTGGACTCGGTCTGCGAGGTGATCCCGTTGGCTAGTTTGATCTGAATACCGTGGACTGGAAAGCTGATGACATCCTTGAAAGAGAAGGCGTGGAGAGGCGCGTTGAATTTCGCGCTATTTATCCCTCCGAAGATGATTTCGCCCTCGTTGGTGGTGTTTGGGTTCCTCCAGGCGCTAAATGACGGGGTGCTAATCAGGCCGCTGTCCACCAGCTGGTACGGGAAGCTGCGATTATCCGGGCCAATGCCGAGCAGGTTGTCTGATCCATTTTAGTACACTAATACTAGAGGAAGGCAGGCACGTACAACTGTAAGGGTCGTTGATAGTTACGAGCCCGAGCGACACATCTGAGAGTTTCGCCCCTCCCACAGTGACCGTATCCGAACCGTCAAAGGAATCGTCCAACCCTTCCCAATTGTGCTCAGCCGTAGCGAAAGTCGATGAGTTCCGGGGGTCGAAGTATCCCATTTCTTCACAATGGTGATGGGCAGAGCAGTTCGTGTTCGGGCCTGGGTACATGACCATGAAAGTTGTGTCCAGGGTATCGAGAACCATACCAACAGGCTGCGGCGGGGTTCCAATCGAGATGTTCATCAAGTAACTGCCCTATAAATATCCACTATCGTTAGGTCTAGGGACGCACGCAGAAAGAGCGGGGGTGGGAGGCAGCGCACATCACTCAAGGCTGGTGCTGAGATAGTATCTCTCTTCTGCAGTGTCGATGGGAAAGAGCCTTTGCGCAGTTTTGCAGAAATCACAGCCGGATTGTCTTTTTTGACCGCAGGTAGCGTCTCGGCTGTGGTGGGCAGTAGAGCTACCGCCCAGAGCACCAGCATGCACGCGAGTCGAGCCATCCGAGTTCCTATTAGTAACGAAGAATCACTCTTGTGGTTTCTCCGCGATTCGCTTTTCGTTTTTGGGGAGGTGAGATGCTTAAATTGTCTGGACAGGGGGCCTTCCCACTGCGGCAAGTCTGAGGAATTGGGCCATGTGCAACTATTGCTTGAGCTAAGCATAGGGCAGGGCACAAGCGCAAGTCGGAACAATCCGCTTGCCTCATTCAGGGGTATTCCCGGTCGCCCAGCAAGGCGCAGTCAACAAGAACGCCAGGGCCCTGACATCGATGCTCTCCACCTCCAAACAATTCCATTACTCCATTGGCCAGAATCCATAATCAGGTTCTCCTGATTTGTATCTGGCTTATGGCTCACTCACTGTTGATTGGAGGAAAACCCATAAGCCACTGCAAATTTCCCCCAGGATGAAATCACCCCACAACGTACCAGGCGAAATCCGGCCAAATCGTCAGGGGCAAATCTTGAGACGCTCAAGTTAGCTTGGGAACCGAATTGGATGTTCACTGGATATGATATGAAAAGCAATTTATGGACGCTGCTTTGCCGAACCACCGGAAGCTGCACAGAATCACGGGGTTCATTTTCCCGAGCAGCATCCAGAGAAAGCGTGGGAAACCGGTGCTCATGAAATTGTTACTCCTATGTGCCATTCGGCGGTGCGTATTGTTCATTTACCGGGGGTTTGAGCATTGTGCTCACAGGGATTCTTGTTCAGGAGGACGCCGCGAAGATTGTAAAGTACTGCAAATACGCGCCCACAGGAACCCGCGGCCTACGGACCGATGTTCGCACTGTACTCCTTTCGGAAGTGCCCAGACACTAGTATGACACTCATGCCGATAGGAAAACCGTCCTCTTTGTGCAGAATGAGTCAAGGCCTGGCGTCGAGAATGTGGAGAAGATTGTTGCGGTTGAGGGATTGGATGGAATCCTTATTGGTGAGTCAGCTTGAAACAGTTTGGTATGCATGGGTACCAATGTCGAGTAGGACCCTTGGACCTCTCAAAGCAAATGGGCGTTGAACGAGGTGGAGAAGAGGACGAAGCTGCGATCCAGCGTGTCTTAACGGCTGCTAAGTCAGCGGGCAAGAAGGCGACCATTTCCGTACGTCTTTCCCCGGTTCCTATGCCGCGAGTTGCTCAATAGCGCGCGATGATGTGCTGACAATCAGTTTTATGGCCCTCATCGTTGGCTCGGCCTTCTACGGATCACCCGATACAACCGCAGGGTTCGCTTCAAAAGGCGGATTGCTGTTCTTTGCAGGGCTACTCAACACTTTCACCGCGATGAGCAAGATTAACAACCTCTATTCTCAAAGTCTCATTGTCGTGAAGCAGGCATCCTACACTTTTTATCATCCCTCAACAGAAGCCATTGCTGGAGTAATCGGCGATATTCTTGTAAAATTCGTTGTCGCGGTGGTCTTTAACACCATCATGTATTTCATGGGGTATCTCCGTAGGGAGGCGTCACAGTTTTTCATCTACTTCCTCATCACATTTGTGATCATGATCGTGATGAGCGCCGTCTTCAGGACAATGGCAGCAGTCACGAAGACTATATCTCAGGCTATAGGACTAGCTGAAGTCCTCATCGTCGCCCTCATCGTCGGATGCGGATCTGGTATCGGAGGGTGGGTTGAAGCTGTTTGAGCTGAAGAATGGGATGTTGCATCATAATGTTGATTATACGCCCTTCGAGGGGAAGACCCTCTCGCAGTGGCCGAGATATACCTTGTTGAGAAAAGAGGTTGTCTATTCATCGGGAGAATGGAGGCGTCGTGGCGGAGAAGGGCGTTGGGCACTTCGTTGAGAGAGGGCGCAGTGAATTCTCTGTCAGGACCGAGAACTCTGGGATCCAGAGAAGTTCTAGATTCAAAGTCAATATATATGTTCGAAATGGCTTGCATATACATTAGTCTTCAGTCCCTATCAACAAGAAAAAGGGTTAACTAAAGCGGGCTCCCCCAAAGATCCCCCCCATGACTATCCAATAACAACTTCCACTTCTTGAAAAACCACGGCGCAACCTGCCAGCTCCCCACCTCCCACGGCTGCCCACTCCCACTCCCACTCCCCGACCCCAAACAAAGTAACCCCCCTTCAAGAATGTCCCCCTTCAGCTCAAACATATCAACCAAATGCGGCACGGCCGCTGAGAGAATAATTGCCCTAGACCTTAGAGTCGGGATCGGGATGAGATCGAATAGTGGATGGTGCGGAATTAGGATCTGTGGGAGGGTTGGCCGGAGATGTGCGGGGACTAGAGGGTATGACGTCGAAACGTCGGATAGGAGTTTTTGAGGGTCCGTGGAGGAGGCTGTTTGGCGGTAGAAGGGCGAGCACAGGGACATGCAGTTGTAAGAGAAGAACTCTTCGATGCTTATCCCGATTGTTGGGGCATTGTACAGGCAGGCGGAGAAAAAGTTTGTTTTGGGGGTTTGGAGGCGGTTTTTGTAAGGGTCTGCGAGGTACGTTGATGATGTGTTAAAGTGGGGGCTGTGTCCCTGCCGGGAGAACTGGGGTGTGTAGGCGGAGGTCGAGTTTGAGGTGCTTGTGGCGAAGTGTTCTGCGCTCTGGTCGTTGACTTCTTCTGCGGGTGTCGGGTAGAAGGGTTGATCATTGGACTCAGCCAGCAGATAATCGACATTGAGGCTCCAGTTGGGCGTTGAGTTTGAAAGCAAGAGTTCAAAGAGGCCTACCCCACCGTATGGACCGACAATCGAGCCGCTAATTGATTGTGTTGCTGGCAGAGGTTCACTAGAAGGTGTCGAGACCGACAAATCTGTACCGGATATACTATAAAACGGAGTTTCTGGTGCGTCGGGCAGAATATATGACTGGCCGAAACCTTCATGAGCCGGACCACTCGAAGCCTCGCCTTCGACATCCTTAGGAGTAGGATACGGCCGAAGCTGCTGATACCGACTAGAACCCCCCTTCTCCCCCGTTCTAGCCCTATTACTCTGCAACCGCTCCTTCTGTCTTTGACCTAGATACGTATTAGCCAACCCACCAAAACCAGTTCAGAACGACTTACGATAAGCCCGCTGCGCCTCCCTATTCTGCAACTTCCGCGCCTCAGTAATAACCCGCTTCGGCCTGGCGGATTTGGGTTTCGGTTGCGCTCCCGGCGTCTGCTGCATCGTGATTCGCAGTGGTAGTGGCTTACTGGCGGGGAGCCTCTCATACGATTCTGCTCGGAGTTGGGTTGTGAGGAAGATGGCGCGACGTTGGCTGACGCTGCTCTTTTGTTGGCGTCTGGCGATGGGCGATGGGCGATGGGCGATGGGCGATGGGCGATGGGCGATGGGCGATGGGCGATGGGCGATGGGCGATGGGCGAAGCGGCGGGCGAACTTTGAGGCAGTTGAACACCGGCAGTGGGCTTGAAAGCTGGCAAATAAAGTAGAGTCTCAACCAATGAGACTCAGCGAGCGATGTAGCCGGATTTCGCCTAGTGGAGTGGTTTCATCGGGCCGGAAATTTGCTGTGGCTTATGGGTTTTCCTCCAATCAACGGCGAATAAGCCCATAAGCCAGATGCAAATTACAAGAACTTGATTATGGATTCTCGCCAATGGACTAATGGAGTAATGGAATTGTTTGGAACTGTACATAGTAGAGCATCGATGTCGGCTTCATCGATGGATTTGTGTATATCCAGCGCAGTCGTCAGACTATATAAACCAGTTCAACCTCCCTCGAATCTTCATACCATCACCAAGCTTAACAAATAACAACACAACATCACAATACCTTTTCAAAAGCACAATCTATTCGAGCTGTCACCAATAACCAACATCTCCAAAACCAACCCCGAAATCACATTCTCAAAGATGTCGAAAGTAATCGCCATAATCGGCGCAACCGGAAACCAAGGGTCCTCCGTCGCGCACACCTTCCTTGACACCCCGAACTGGACCGTCCGCGCCATAACCCGCAACCCTGCCTCAACAAAGGCCCAAGCCCTCGCCGCCGCCGGCGCCGAACTCTTCCAGGCCGAGTTAAACGATATCGCCTCTCTCGAAGCCGCATTCCAAGGCGCACACTCTATCTTTGTGAACACGACTTCTGGGGTCCCTATCTTCGTGGGACGGGGACTGGGAGTGAGACGACGCATCGTAGCAACGATGCGTTTAATGAAGAAGTGAGACATGGGAAGAACGCTGCGATTGCGGCATCGAGGGTTCCGACGCTTGAGCGGTTTGTGTATTCGGCGTTGGGACCGATGAAGAGGGCTTCGAAGGGGAAGTATGCGCTGTCGCACCATTGGGATTCGAAGGCGACAATTGTGGATTATATTAAGCGGGAACAGACGGAGCTTGCGAAGAAGACGTCGATTATTTATATTGGTGTTTATGCGACGAATCCGCTCATCATGCCGAAGCTCGACCCCGAGACGGGGCTGTACAAATTCATCCTCCCTATGCGCGGGGAGACGAAGATACCCATTATTGACACTCCCTCGTCAAAAGGACCCTTCGTACACGCGCTCGTTGAGCACGAGCCGGCGGGCACAAACTTACTCGCGTACGATAGCTATCTCAGCATTAATGAGGTCGTCGATATTTGGGCAAAGGCGATGGGGAAGAAGGCAGAGCTAGTGACTGTCACGGCGGAGCATATGCATACTGAATTTAATATTCCGTGGGAGGTGCTCCAGGCACCATTGTGGATTGACGAGGCTGGGTATATGGGTGGGATCGAGGGGTGGATTGGGGCTGCTGATCTGAAGGTCAGGCCGAGGACAAAGACGTTTGGGGAGTGGTTGGCAGGAAGGGACTGGGAGGGGGTCTTAGATGGGGGGCATGCTGAGTTGCAGAGCTTAAAGGAGCCGGGGACGAGTGCTTAGATTTCGTTTAGCCTAGAGTTTTGTTCTTAAGAGCTTTTTTGCCTTAATATGGACCAAATGGGATTGGCCAATATAAGTGGTCAATCCTGCATTGACCGAATTTGATTAAGATTGGATGCAGGGTCTGACGGACTCTAAATCGTGTCGGAGATAGAGCGAATCTTTTCCAGTTAAACGTGCTGTGGCGGGGTAATAACTTAACCCAGGGTCCTGCTGTTATCTTTGCCGGGTGTGTAATTCTCCCACTTCTACCAGACATGACAATCACATCGCACCGTGAGGAAATAGAGATATAAATACCCTCCTCTTCTTCTCCTAGGAGAAACTACCTTCCATAACACAACCGCAAACAAACAACAAAGCGATCAATCTGAGATCGATCATCCGCAATGTGTCGACATTGGCGTGTCACTGGCGCAAACACAGGCTTAGGCCTGGCTCTGGCCCTCAAAGGATATGGTGCGAATGATGTCGGTATCGACAAATCGTTCAGTCTGATTGCGCTGGGTATGATCATTTACTGATACGAAACGGTAGTGTCATTAGCTCTCACCAGACGACGGCGGGCAAATTTTTCGTCATGACGAACCTTTACTAGTTTCTCGTCTAAGTACAGTTGCCAGAGGGCACTGGGCCAAATCGAGGTCTTCGTCAGTGCCCTTTGTCACCCCCTGATTTTTGCCTGTCACTCGCCGCTCTATACGGTGGTGCATATATGTCGGCGAGTCCTGGTTGTACACTCTTCCTTCCTCCCATTCGGAAAATTGAAGCAGTCATTATGTGTCGATCAGTGTCAACTAGGTCGTTGGCTAGGAGAATATTTGACCTACGTTTATTATTCTATTGCAAGCCTGGAGATTCTTCTCTCTCCCACAAGTTTGCACAGTTGTCCTCCATTCATTCAAGCTTCCGAGAGGACTTGAAATGTGCATTTGAATGCTTCCGAACTAGCCCTCAGAAACATACCAGGCAGGTCTGTCCAATCAAGTCTTCGGCTCGGTGCGATTTCAACCATTTCGGCTGGGGCTGGACTGTCTCTCTACCATTCCTCATAAAAACAGGAATTTTACCAGAATAGATAGCCGTAAAGTTAACCGCACCTTCCCCATGTATATTTATAGAATAATATAGCGCAGCTACGCACCAGTGGTCAGCTCGGATGGCGAAAAATCAAACCACGAACGAATATGTTGCTATTCTGAAGAATTAGGCAAGTACGTATGTGAACAGTGTCTAAGTTAAAAGCCTTGCCCTCACCAAGGAATAGCTCCATTAGAGCTACTGAAAGTCCTCGTCTCCCCATCCTCTCCCAAAGTCGCCATCTCAACAACCCTCTTTGCCCCTTCCTCCGGCGTAACTCCATACTCATTCCACCGGGTCAAGTTCGTCTTCACATACCCCGGACAAACCGCGTTAACCTTCCCACCAACGGCATCCAGCACACGCGCATAGTTAAGCATTAGCATGTTCACCGCAGCCTTACTCGCATCATAAACCTTATAATCAATGGGATACCAGGGGAGCGATGTATCCGTAGCTTTGTCCAGGCTCCCCATGGTGCTAGTAAGGAATACTATTCGCGGCGGGCCGGCTTTTGCCCTTTGGAGGAGTGGTACGAGGTATTCTGTCAAGACGCCGGTGCCAATAACATTGGTTGTGAATGTCCTGTTATATATCTCCCATGGGGTAAGGCTTTTTTCGCCATCGATGAGGATCCCGGCATTATTAATCAGGACGTCGAGGTAGCCAAAGTCGCGTTCAAGAGTGGACACTGCAGCTTCGATGGAGTCTTCGGAGGTGAGGTCGAGCTGGAGAGATGTTGCTCGATGTCCCCCGTTGCGGATGTCGGCTGCGACTGCTTCGCCGGCTTCAGGGTTTCTGCTGCCGATGATGACGTGGTAGTTGTGCTTTGTGGCGAGGATCTGGGCTGTTGCCCGTCCGACGCCTTGGTTGGCGCCGGTTATCAGGACGAGAGGATGAGACATATTGATTGTACCAGAACCGCGTAGTGAAAGGCTGCGAAGATTATGAATGTGGGTGATGTTGGGGCCGGCGGTGGTTTATATACCTGGCACGGGTCCATCATGGATATTTAATCCGGCAAATGTCAGCGACAGTGCTTACAAATTCAATTCAATACTTCCAGGGTGAATTCTCATAGTCTTAAACAATTTATAATGTCATCTATCAACGGCTTACCGAATTCTATCCAGTGTCAGGACCTGAAGTAAACGGCTTATGGGTTCCGCCCAATGAGGGTTATGTGGCTTACTATACCTTCACCGCAGCCCAGCCTCCTCATCAATTTCAACGCCCGAGGAAGGACTTCTGGAACTGGTTATAAAGAGTGTGAATACTAATTACAGGTCTGGGTATATTCCTCTCATACTCAATTCCTTTCTCTCAGTCGGGTATCTCCGAATCCGCCCGCGGACAGTGTGGTCGTGCACAGGTTGAACTTTATTATTATGCGCACAGCGGGAGAAAAGTCTGAACTGGACGTGCAGTATGGAGCTCTGTTTCAATGGATAGCGTACCTAAACATCTCCGCTTCATATCCTCGGTGGCACCGTGGACCAAAGATACCATCCACAGGAGACTATGTGTGGAGGCGGCTTGAGACAAAATGTTGTGCTCCATCTCACTCGTGTTTACTGGTAGCTTTTAGAAAGAAACCATTGACATGACACTCTGTAGGGAGGTGGGATAAAGTGAGTTGTGACCATATCCCTGGCAGTTACGGCATCTCAGTGGTCGCTGTATGTAACGATATTCAGAGGTAGATGAGACCTCTCCGCAGATCTGTACCATTTTCTGGCGGAGCAGCCGGGTCGCATCACTTTCCTGAGGGAGGAATACCACCATCGACCCGTAGGACTTTGGTCCACTAAGCCAATTAGCTTCCTCACTTCAGTGTTGTTTTCGTCTCTGGACTTTCCATAGAACTCCTCTCTTACTTCCCCGTCCTTGTTGAATACGTCCGACTTCCATACACTGTCAATTCTGATAGGGAACCATGTTTCACCATTTAATTTTGCTTCGTTGAAGGTCTTCAGCTATTGTTGGTGTTCCTGCATCATGAGAACATCCCCTTCACTGGCAAGAAACACCCTGACCATTGACCCTGGTGTGACTTTGACCCCTTCGATTCTGACTTCCCCTGTGTCCTGGTGTCTTCTGAGCGCGTTTTGGATTGTGCTTTTGGCAGTGGCTCCATCAGCTAGTTCCCGCTTGGGGTTTTCATCAGCGCTTCTCACGTAAATGGTTACATTCAGTAGTGTGAGTGCTATAGTTGTTGCTTTTATTGCTGGTGAAATAGCTGACAATGCAGTAACTACTGACGCCCAGCTTCTATCCATGCTAGGTATTTGTGTGGCCAGTGTTGTTGATGGGTTGGTCTTGCGGGGGTTGAAACCGCACTTTATTTTCAATAATCCAGGTGTTGTAAACGGAGCTTACAAAATCTGGGGAAAAGCTGCTGGTTAAACATAGTCCTCATTCAGGTTTTGACTCTCAAAGGATGAGGGTTTTCAAGGTAGGTGTTCTACTCTCGCCTTGGAGCACGATTAGCGAAACCGTGACCTGGTGCAAGTATAGAAAACTGCTAATGCGCAGCAAAAGTGAGACTACTTAGCTAGTTAGTCCCCTTGTTTTATTTCTTCTCCCCTTCACTTGTCTAAAAGAGATGCCTCACTGGAAGTGGGTACGTAGAAATGGATGCTGCACCACACGCAGTCAAGAGGACAAGGAGACAGTAGTTTGGCCGTAACGGGTCACCTGTCGCTGCGGTCTTAGACCGTAGCGTCAGATAGGGCCCAAATGACCCGGGCTAAACTAGGATGGTGGAGAGGACGGTGGTGGAACCAGCGAAGACAGCGGGGCCGGTGAGCCTGTCTGGAACTGGTGGTTGAGTTTGTACAGAACCGACGCGTTCGTCGTAAAATAAACCCTGAATGCCTCTGAGGTCCATCTCCCTAGTTATGAGGATTGTACCGTAAAGTGTAGAGACTAAGGCCAAGCAATGACGATTTGTGGATTAACCAGTAGCCAGTAAATCTGCTTTTCATATTCTAGTATTGATATGCTTAAACCTCCTGTGGCAACCTCTACGAACCTAGATTAGATCGCCCGTAGTCATTGCGTTCATTGCTGCAAAACATGCTTTGTGTCCATTGGGTTGTGTTTGCGTCACTAAATATAAATCCAGACCCGATACATGGGCATTGAAGGTGGAAGCGTGATGATTGGTCGAAAGTATATTCCATTTGACCCGCGACTTTAATACATCTGCCAACCGCACACAAGAGGTGCTATCCAAAACCGCAGATATTTAGAGAGCCACTTGCATCATGATGATGCCTACTTTGACTAGTTTAATGAGGCTGGTTGCTATCACATCACACCAATCGCGATTCATGGCTAGCCCGACCTGTATATCTCGGCTATAGGAACCTTCCAATCCACTATTAGCCCGAAGTCTAGAAAGACTCTCAAGACGGGGACGGCCCTTTGCCCTCGATCTCATGGGGCGCGGGCAGTCGTGAGGCTTGTGGGGTTCGTGAGAGCCCGATGGTCAATGGAAGAGACAAACTGGCTGTTAAGGTGCACTTGTATACAGGTGATCAACTCTCAATATCAAAAGTCCTGTTCATCTATCTGCGATACAGGTGGAGACGGAGGTAGAGGTGGGGAGATCAGCACCAGAAGATTTGCCTGGGTGGGGATCGCTCCTCTCGGGAGCGTGTGGGGAGCGTCTTCCCAGGTCTACAGGTGTCAAGGCACTTTGGCCAGACAGGCCGAGAACGGCCGCCATTGTTGACGACCCATTTCCCAAGACTCCGTGAAATTGGATTTAAAGCCATCTCATACCGTCAGGTTCGGTCGGTCACTGGAGAAATCCTCACTGAAGTAGACATCTTCAGTGGGCATTCCATCTACGTTTCTGGACCCTCATATTTCTTTTACTTATCCATTGCCCTCATGTTTCGTGTTCCACCAGCTGGCGAGCCTGAAGATGCCTTACAGAAGCGTCGTGTTTCCGAGCCGAACCCTCCCCCTCAAGACTCGCCACTGCAAAACAGGACGCCCAAGTCCCATGCTCGGCCAAGGCAGTCAGCGGCCGAGCGATCAGATTCGAGTGGGCAGCCTCTGAGGCGGCGCAAGACCAGGTGCTCAAGAGCCTGTGAGCCATGCCGCGAGAGAAAAGTGCGGTGTATCGTCAACAGCTCCATCCCTTGCGAGAGGTGCAAAGCCACAGACGCGAAATGTATTATTCGGCAAAGATTTGTCGGGAAGTATGTCCCTACAGCTTCTACTATCTGACTTCTATCTCGGCTGGACTGACACTCCTGCCCACCAAACAGCGCATTTTTGAACAACTATCCATTGTGCAAGCCTTCCAAGTCCCTAAGGGAGCATGCCGAGCCTCGTGGAATGGCAGCGTCGAGTGGTTTCCCCTCTACGAAGAGCGGGACTAGTCCAGTCGGCCCTGCAGAAGAGATGTTGGACAAATCTGATATATCGTATCAAGCAGGTGAGGTCTCCGTGACGTTGCGTCTCTGCCCCTTGTGTCGGATCATTTCTCTAACATAGGATAGATCCGAGGGTTGAGATACATCCGGAGCCACATGCGAGACCTCTCCAGCTCTTGGACTCGGATTTTAAATCGACCAGCGCGGAGGGTACTCCCAGTCCGAAATCGACCCAAGAGATCGCTTCCTACCTACACCTGCGCTCATCAGTCACTAGCGCGCAAGCAAGCAGAGTGACTCGGCACGTTCTCGAGAGGCTTGACTCTGAGATTCTTACCCTATCAGGTGTCACTTTGCGCCAGTCCCTTCTTCGACAACTGATGAGCCAAGTTCGAATATTGATAAACAGCCTACGTCAGATCGAAAGTCTCGGAGCCGTAGGCGCCATAACTGATCCCTCTTTGGGTTATTGGGAGCCTACTAGCCAAAGACATGGAGCGTGGGCGGATTCCGTGGAGGAAATCGACAGGAGGTCCAAAATCCTCGACAATTCCCAACAGTGGGCATCAATCGAAATGGACAGATTTGGGAACTTCTTGTCAGGGAACGATCCAGGGTATGAATCAGGAGCAGTTGGGCCAGGCAGTCGAAATAGCGCTGACCTCGGGACTGCTCCGGAAGAGCTGCATCGAACTGAGAGCTCAGCGTCCGCAGAGGACCAAGCTCCATGTCTGCAGGATGGATTATGGGAACTGTTGGACGAGTTTATAAACCCGACACCGCCGCCTATCTCGGAGCCTGTCTCGCGGCCTAAATCTAGGCGAGGCGGCTATGGTGTTTCTGGACCGGATGACGGATGGGGCTTTTGGAGTTGAGAAGCCGCCTATGGACATTTTACTAAGAGAAATACATGTAAATGAAGTCCTGCCGGAGACCTACTTCCACTAGTACTGCATGAGTGATCATGGTGCCGTGGTAGAGTCGATGATGGGCTACGCACCTGAAATCTGGCGTGGAGCAATCCCAAAATGAGACACTGACCATGACCGCAAAAGTATGTGTTGTCACTGGAGGCCAAGGTAGAGGATTGGGTGGGACGTTTGGGTGCAGAGAGGCAATGACATAAATGTGTTTCTTTGCTTCTGTGGTCAGCTCCCCGAGATAAGCCCATACGAAACAGCAGAAGTGACGTGATGACCCGTTAACCCAGCTGAAGCAAACTAGACCTGAGCACCTCGGTGATATTTACAACCTCAATCGCCCTGCTTTAACCTTGATAACGAGTGTGCCATCTGGGAGACGCAGCGCCACTGGGAGCCGCATCGTAGCAGAACCGCCTCGTAGAGACCGACAAGACTACCGAGATTACAAGCGCATACAACACGTCCGTCAATAAGCTCTCGTCCCCCATGCTCCAGCCACTGCCGGAAGGGTTCATCCTGCTCCGTACCAAACAGCTCAAACGACTCCAGGCCGGCGCTGGCCGCTTGCAAGCTAGAGCCGATGGAACAGGCGTCGCAGACTTGGACAGAGCGAGCGTAGGCCCACACCACGAGTCCGGCCTCGTACAGCGCGATCGACGCAATAAGTCCTACGTGAGGGATAGCCGAGGATGGGTCGCCTTCTGTGTCCTGGTGGCCAAACTTCTCCTGCAACAGTTTTAGGACCTTGGCGGCATGCCATATCGCCAACCTCGCATCCGACGTCTGGACCCATCGCAGCGTGCTGGACTCTAGCTGTCTTCTGAAGGTGCCCGAGCGCAACCGTTGGTCGGTCGACAGCTCCTTGATTACTTCTACATTGGCCATCAGGACAATCTGCGAGAGGTGATACAGCGGGATGGCGCTGTTCTCAAGCATCTCCCTGTGGCCTTTCGACGACAGGGCCGGGCCGAGTGCTCGGTCCCTGTAGCCCTCCCTCCAAACTGTCAGTTGCCTGGTCCAGAATTCAGCGCTCTGGGAGAAGCTGGCGGGCGTCTTGTTCTTCAAGTTCGACCGCGTCCGCCCTGATTCTGTGCGGGAGCGATGCCGCTGAGCGTCTTGCCAGAGCCATGCTTGTATCGCGCACAGTCCATACAGGTACTCGTCCTCCAGCAGGGGGGGTAAAGCGGCGCGGCATTCCTGGTCCATGACCTGATCCACCAAGTGCATGAAATGCATCGGGTTACGCTTCCTGGACTCGATCAGCTTCACTTTGTGCCATTCCTCAGCAGTCTGCGCCTCCCAGAGTCGCTCGGAACATGGCAGCGTAAGGCACAGCTCATCGTATCTCAGCATCGGGCGGTACCCCCGCAAGAAGTAGAAATATATGTCCAGTCGAAACGCGAAGTAAGCCAGCCTGAGATTGAGGTGTCAGTCGGATAAGATACAGGAATACTCAAGTAGGAGAGAGCGGCTACCTCTTCAAGGTTTCGCGTCTGAGCCAGCTGGAGGGAATGGCGCCTTTGGGGTCGTCGCGTGCGAGACTATACTGCTCGTTAAATAAGCCGGCCTCACGAAACACGGACAGCGTCATGCTGTGCTGCATATATGCGTTGCTGAAAAGTTTGTCGTCCTGACTATTGCATTAGTTTACAACTGATGATGCCGCTTGGTGGACCGTAACGTTAACACAAGGTGGTAAAGGTGAGGAACGGACGAAAAGCAAGCGATAAAGAAGAGTAAATGCTTACTGAGACCTGAAGTGTGAATATCGCATTCAGCAGCAAAGTCTGGTACGTAGATACTGGCCAGCGCAGCCCTACGTCTTGCTTCGGCGACGGGTCGAACTGGGAATGGCCTCATGGTCAATTGCAGGTACTGGAAGACTTAATCAATTTAGTGACATACCAATTTCTCTCGGAGCTTCTTAGTGATCAACTTGTGCAGATCAAGGGCAGCGTCCATCCATGAGGGAACGCCCGACTCCCACGCGCCGATCATGGCCACGGTGTCTACCAGATCTTGGTCGTCCGCCTCCAAGTTGAATGTTGCCCTATGGACCGTTGCCCACAGGCGGTGAAACTTGGTAAAGAAGACATTAATGCAGTGCTTGAGGGCGCGGGGCCCCAGAGGAAACAAGGTCGGTGAAGCGGCTCTCGGCACCGTGTTGGAATGCTCGTTGTACAGTGGCATGCTGCCCAGAGCCCATGCATCGCTATGGGACGACCGTGGAAGGCCAACTTCGTTAGTTGTGGATAAGAAGGGGATAGTGGAGTTGAAGATGCCGGAGGGGGCGGGAAGCCAAAGGTCCTGGGCACCCAGAGGGAATGCAGTCCCATGAAAAGTAGAGTCGAAGATATAGTCGACTGTCTGCGTGTTAGGGTGGAAACTTGGTGCGGTAGCACCAGCGGGCATCACATCCCGGGACGGGCCATCAAGACATGTGTTGTCATGGCCAAGACTAGAGAGGTCGCCGCTGAGGACACCAGTCTCGTCAGCGGATGAGGCAGCTATTGTGAATGCATGAGATGAATCAGAAGTGACTGGTGACCTTGGCCATGGCTGGTTGGGGTCGGCCATCTGAAGCGCGGCCTCTGCCTCAAGGCTCGACAACGGCGCAAAGGGCTCCACGCGATAGCCTCGCTCGGGGCTCTGCAGAGAGACCAGCGGGTAGGACAAGTGCGAAGCCTCTGCCTGGATCTCTCGAGAGTTTTGAGATTCTGGCCTGTCCAGTGCTTCCCATAATGCCTCGTTGGAACTCAAAGTGATAATGGACCCGTTTCGCTCGGGACCGCCGGGTGTTGAAACATGAGCCGATTGTGTATGACCACTCTGTTCCGCCAGTAGCAGGGCATCGACGTCCGAGCATCCGTCGCCGGCCGGCTGCTCTTGCACTGAGCTGGAAGTGTTCAGCGAGGGCTGCGCGGTAGGACCTGACATGGGCAGCTCGACTGGCACATCTGCTAGGGCCTCAGCGGCGAGGACCGGCTCGGGGGCGTTGCGAGGGTATTGGCAGAGGCAGTTTGACCTTTGACAGGCCTGGCAGGGTAGCTCGCCCGTGCAGGCGGCCTTGCGGGAGCGGCAACGGTCGCAGGCAGACACAACCCGACGTCGACGGCGACTGGGCCGGTGGGAGCTGTTGGTCGACGAGTGCTGGGAGGCAATATGGCGCTTGAGGACGTCCCTGGCATTGAGGAGACACCATGTCAGCGGATTTCACTAGGAGAGACACGGCTCAACCGGAGCGAGGAGGTGCATTGCTCACTGGCGACCGTAGTTTTTGTGGCAAACCGGGCAATCGAACGGCTTCTGCAGCCTGTGCGACCTCAGATGGCGCTCCAGGTGTTCGTTGCGCCGATAGGCCTTGTCGCAGCCGGGGACGGTGCAAACGTAATCTCGGGCATCTTCGTCAGCGGCCATCGAGGCATTCACGAGTGCCATGGTCATTGCGGGTTGAGGCGTCAAGGCATTCGTGTTCGGCCGACCGAGAGGTTAGAGGGCGACGTTCGAGACGGAGAATCGCGGGGACGCGACTGAGACTGTCCTTGTCCTGGCGTTTCCCCACGGGCCCTTGGACGGGGTGCGGGGT